GCCATGCTAGGGCAGTGTGCATAGGCGTGGTAGCTGTGCTGGCAGCGATGCAATGTGGGCTGACCGTGTGTGGTTGGCGTGGTGCAGGCGCGGCGGGAGCGCATGAACTTGCGCATGAGGCAGCTGCAGGCGCTGGTGCCGGGGGCGAGCTGCATGACCACGGAGAGCTTCCTGGAGGAGGCCGTGCAGTACGTGCACTTCCTGCAGCGCCAGGTCCTGGTGAGCCACGCCCCGCCCTGCACTCGTAGGCTGAATGGCACATGTTGTTCTGTGCCATGCCATCGTTTCGTTGCTGCACCATGCGATTCATATGTGTACGGTACATGGTGCTGCATTATCATGTGACATGTGCACCCCCCTTGGCCGCCATGCAGGACCTCACAGACTCCCTGCACCTCCACCAAGACCCCTGCTCGCCTGCTGCCACCACACACGTGCTCTTTCCCCGCACCTCCACTCTTGCAACCCACCTGCCTCGCCTGCACACTGCCGCCGCCACTGCACCACGACCACTGGCCTCCACCTCCACTGGTGGGTGGGGAGGCAAGGCACAATGCGGACAGGCAAGGGCATCGCTGAGAGAGAGTGGAACAGATTCGGTGGGGGGAGGTGGTAGGATGAATGGCAGGTGTGCAGGAGGTAGGGTGTTGGGGTGGCAGGGAGTGGGAGGGGAGATGCGGCGCAGGCAGCTGTGCTTGGTTCCAGTGGGGGCGCTGATGGCACTGCTGGAGCCAGGGGGCATGGTGGACAGGGCGCTCATGCACCTGCAGAAACAAGAGGAGCAGGGTGGCGCTGAGTGTAATGAATGAGGCGAGAGACGAATGATTGGACGCGTTCAATGCTCTGTGTTGAGATCAGAGCTGTAAATAATGTGTGGGACCTAGATTCTAGAACTACACAGCTAGTCAGTTTACTATCTTTGAAGAAGGCTGTCAGATGTCTGATATTACCTGTTGTATTGGAAGTAAACTAAAAATCATTTCAAGTGGCTTTCCAGCTCGGAATTAGGAGTGGTTGACAAAAATGTGGATGTGGAATTTCTAGATCACAGTGGTCGTGTAACATCGCGGCATCAGTCTGACGTTGCAGCAGGGAACGTTGGGCTCGTCCGCCCTTTTTCCAGCATCTACGGAGAGCGTGGCAGCGCTGCAAGCGAGGGAGGTCCGCCGCATCACCCCGCCTCCATCCGCACCCTCCCTCCACCCTTTTCCGCCTCGCCTGCCACCTCCTCCTCATTCCCTCACTTTCTCACCTCTCCTTTTCCATCCTGCGTTACACTTATAGAGCAGCTACATTTCCCACACAGCAAGCACCCCGTCAAGCTATCACCATGGATAGACAAACATGCAAGATGCCCTATCGTATATTCCGCGTGACTTCGTTACCCGCACTGTCCTCAACGCGTATTTGCTGATCTTCTTCCGAAGGTCACGACATCCGTCGCTAGGCTTCGGCGTTTTTTGTTTGTGGGCAAAGGCCTTTCGTGGCCGCGTGCATTCTGCGGCTTGCGCGGCTGCGCTTATGGCAGATGGACAGAGCGCGTCGCAGCCGCCCCATTTGGATCGCGATAGTCCGTCCCGACCGCCGGTGAAGGCGCTCGGCGCACAGACGGGTGGTGCAAAGCCCGCGGAGGGGGCTTCGTGCAACGGCGTTGTGATCGGTGAGGGCACGCGGCAGTCGGAGAACAAAGGGCACGATGGCGATGGGGCGAGCGCGCAAGATAGGGATACGGATGGCGTGCGCGAGGCAGTGGAGGCGGAGAGCGTGAAGACGCGCGCGCGGCCGAGCGGCAAGGTGGTGCACATGGCGCGCGCGGACCTCGTCGATCTCGCGGATCTCGACCGCGCGCTCGATCGCGCGCTGTCCCGCCGAGAAAAGCCCGCCGCTGCCGTTCAAGCCGCAAACGCGGCGGGGAAGGGTGGCGGCAGCGACGCGGATAAGCTGGGGCACGGACCGCAAGCCGAGGGATCGGAACGACCGAAATGGGAGATCGACGTGAAGAAAGTAGTGCTGAGAAAGCTAATCGCTAACGGCACGTTCGGCACCGTGTATCGAGGCACTTACCAAGGAAAGGACGTTGCAGGTGCGCCCTCCTTCCCTCCCTTGCCCCGTCCCAACCTTGCCTCTTCCCTCCCGTGTCCCTTCCCTACGGTGTCCCTTCCATCCCTTGCCCCTCTTTACCGTACCCCGTCCCTCCGTGCCCCGCGGCGCCCTTGCCGCGACTCGCTTCTCGGATCGTTGCTCGTGAAGCAGCGTCGTGCGCGGCGGTTCGAGGGGTATCGTGAGAGCGCGTTCGTTGCACGTGGAGCTGGGAGGCTGCCTGCAGGCCACCATATCACGGATCTTGCTCTCGCGAAATGCGTCCCAGCTCTCGCGCAAAGACTTCCCATGCCTTGCCATGCCGCGCCGTGCCGCGCCATGCCGCGCCGCGCCATGCCACGCCATGCCACGCCACGCCGTGCTATGCCGCGCCATGCCATGTGTATCTAACCTGTGCTAGTTGCTGTGTGCGGTGGTGCGTGCGCGTGAGCAGTGAAGGTGTTGGACTGGGGGGAGGAGGACACCATGTCGCGCATGCAGCTCGACAAGCTAAGGCGCGCCTTCAGGCAGGAGGTCACGGTGTGGAGCGACCTCTCCCACCCCAACGTCGCGCAGGTCAGCGCTGCTGCTGTCGCTGCTGCTGCTGCTGCTGCTGCCCCTCGCCGCCGCTCATGCCGCCCGCTGCTCTTGCCCGCTGCGCCGTGAGCTGACCGTGCGTGCGCGCGCTGCTTGCTGCGTGCGTGCAGTTCGTGGGCGCGTCCGTGGCGGACCAGGGCGGGTTCATGATCCCGTCGTTCGACCGGTCGCGCGGGGGGGGGCGCAAGGGCGACATCCGCGTGGAGGGCAGCCTGTGCTGCCTGCTGGTGGAGTACGTGGCGGGCGGCACGCTCAAGGACTACCTCATCGCCAACCGCCGCCGCAAGCTGCCCCTCCGCACCGTTGTGCAGCTCGCCTCCGACATGGCCAAGGGGTAATGGGGGGGGGGGGGGGGGGGGGGGGGATGGGGGTGCGCGCGGCGCATGGGGGTGTGAAAGGCATGGGGGTTGACTCATGGGGTGGTGGAGGCATGGCATGGCTGAGGGAGAGTGGTGTGTCATAGCAGGTCGCATGTGGGCCCGAGGGGAGGACCAAAGGGTGGGGGTCGTGCAGAAATTGGGGCGTGTTGTTGCACAGGCTGTCATGTCGTTTGGAAGAGGGTAGCAGCTCATGTCCCATGCAACGAGTTGTCAACCACTGTGCAACTACTGCTCCACCCCTCCACCGTCCCCATAGCATGTGTCTGACTCACTTTGTCAAGACAGAGGATCGACTGTTCCGGTGTATTTCTTGCAAGCATGAATGGGCCTCAAGTATTGTGCTGCCCCGGGGGTGTGTGCATGGCAGGCTGGAGTACCTGCATGCACACAACGTGGTGCACCGCGACATCAAGTCGGAGAACATGCTGCTCACAGGCAGTCGCCGTGTCAAGGTGGCGGACTTTGGAGTGGCGCGCATAGAGGCGGAGAACCCCAAGGACATGACGGGCGCCACCGGCACACTCGGCTACATGGCCCCCGAGGTGAACCAACCACGCAGCTGCTGTGTGTGGCGCCACCACCACTTGCTCTTGCTCGCTTGCTTCCGCCTGCTCTGTTCCCCAAGGCGAGCGAACTGGATTTTCTGTGTCCCATTGTGCAGGTGTTGGAGTGCAGGCCGTACAACCACCGTGCTGACGTGTACAGCTTTGGCATCTGCCTGTGGGAGATCTACTGCTGTGACATGCCCTTCCCCGACCTCGACTTCAAGGAAATGGCCGCGGTAGTCAATAAGGTGCCTGCATTCCGGCACGCACAGCACACACCTGCTCCTTTCTTTTCCGCTTTGAAGCACGTATATCCAGGCACTAGCACATGCGCACACGCACAGTTGCCACGCTCCCAGATATGTGTGTGCGGCTGGCAGTATGTAATAGGTGCCGCTCCTCTCTCTGCACCTACATGGCAAAACACCGTGTGGAGGCTGCTCTCATGCGCCCCTCCCTCCCCTCCCCCTTCAGGGTCTGCGCCCCACCATCCCTGGCATCTGCCCACGGGACCTGGCCAGAATCATGCAGCGCTGCTGGGATGCTGACCCCAGCAAGCGGCCCGACATGGGGGAGGTGGTGACACTGCTGGGGAAGGTAGACCTGAAGCGCGGCAAAGGCATGACTCCCATCTATGACATGCCCAATGATTCCATCTCCTGCTGCTGGGTCACATAAAATGAAAGCCTCGCCTTTGCTGCACACCATACTCAACTGCGGCTTGGAGGACTGATGGCAGGTAGTGGGTGCGAGATGACAACATAATGGGTCAGCGTTGCACCACTGCACTTGCCACAACCATTCTTTGAAATATATTAAGGGGCTTGCGGATAAGATTAGATTAGTATGTAAGATATGTAGTACCGTAAGATGTCTATGTTTTTTTGCATTCTAGAGTGATTATGCAAAACAAAGAACCATCAGCCAGATAGACAACAACCTACCCTTTCAATTGCCATGTTTGCTGTAAATGCGAAATATATATTGTTGAAAGCTAGCAAGCAATCATACTTGTTTGCAATACAGTAATGACAAACTAGATTATGTAACTGCGAAATATATATTGTTGAAAGCTAACTACCATACTTGCTTGCAAATTGCAATACAGCAATGACAATCTTAGTGCTGGTTGGTTCCTACTGTTCTGGACGACAAAGCAAAGTAACTATCTTCCGACACGTTATGAACAGGACACAGGATATTTCCTAACACAGGGTAGGAATGAACAATTTGGTTGGATAAACGCTAGAAAAATAGCAATTGCTTTACAAAATCAACATCCAGTGGTGGTTCCATGCAGATTCGGTAGGTGACTGTAGAAAACAGACAAAACTTCCACAGACCCAGTTCATGCCTAAATATTCCATGGCAGTCTCTACGCCTTGATCATCTTGCTTCTCTATTCCTTTGCGGCTTGGGCCTTTTGAGCCTTTTCCCGCTCCCGCTCCTCCTTCCTTGCCTTCTCTCTGTACATTACAGAAACAGGTACGGTAGACACCGCATAAAGAAGTTAGTCAAGCAGGATAAGGCGCTTTTAAATTCGACCAGATGGACATATTAAACCACATGCTCCAGATGGATGATCTGATCTTTCCACAAGCTTTGCAATCTAGCACTTAGACTCAAAAGCAGGAATGAGCTTCATGACAGAGCATAACAAGGGGAAGGCAGCAGGAGGAGGTAGGGAGGGGGGTGCAAGGAAGAAGCAGGGTGATAACACACCTCTGTAGGAAGTCCTGCAGGAGCTCCTTGGCCTGGGTGAGCTTGCTGAGCAGCCCTCGGTACACATCCAGGTCCCGGTTCACACTCATCTGGTTGATGCCCAGTGCTTCACACAGCTGCCAGGGAGCACACAGCAGGATACCACAACCAGAGTCAGAACATTAGTACATGGGCACACAATCGCCACATAGCGTGCGAAATACCCAATGTTGACCAACACCATTATAAATGCGTGTGCCCTGTGTGTCAAATGCTTTGCACATCCAATCGAGGGTTTGAGAGTGTGTGAGTGGGAGAGAGGGAGTGAGAGCGACTAGTTTAAGAATATGTGTGAGCAAGAGAACGAGTGTGGGACCCCTTGTGCATGAGTGCGAGCATGAGTGAGATGTCAAAGAGCAATGTGTGAAAGAGGGAATGTTTGTGAGAGCAAGCAGAGCAAGTGCGTGTGGGTGTGGGTGAGTAGCGTGTGTGAGATAGCAAACGCATCAGAGCATGTGAGTAACAAGGCGAGTGTGTGCGAGAGCTGCGTGTGTGTGACAGAGAGTTAATGTGTGTGTGTGTGTGGGTGTGAGAGCGAGTGTGTGACAGCGAGACTGAGAGATAGAACGAGCATGTGCAACAACGCGAGCGACGTGGGGAAGAGTGAAAAGAGGGGGAGAGGGGTGTGGCACCTTTTGGAGGGTGGCGGGTTCAGACGACTTGGTGATCTCGAGAAGGCGAAACAGGCCCACGGCGAAGAACCGGCTGTAGTGGAAGGTGCCAGCCTTGGCACGCTCCGCAATTTCCTGGGGTGATTTGACAGGGGAGGAGGGAGCAACGACGGGGTAAAGCTTTCCACCAAATCGGGCAATCAAGACGCAGCAGCTTGTGCATGTTCAAGCTTGACCTGTGGTCTGACTTCAACAAGAAACGGTGTTCACGTAGCGATTTGCAACATTCGACCGTTTTACTCATCACTGATTGCACTGAGGAGCATGCAGACCTCGTTCCATCGTATCAACCAAGGATGCTGCCCATAAAGCAAAACGTCGGTTCACTCCTGCTACACTTACACATTGTACAAACTTCCAAACACCTCCACCAGTCATCTTAACCCCCAATGACCCGCCCGAAACCCTCCCCCACCCCCCCTTCACCCCCTCTCTTCCCCTTCGTGCGCGCGACTCACCTTGAGGCTGCGCTCCACGTCGCCGTCCCTGTTGTTGATGTCGATCAGCTCGTCCGCCGTCAGCCCCGCTGCCCACTGCTCCAGGCGCGCCGCGTCCTCGCGGTATGTCTTAGGGCTTTCCTCCAAGGCCTCTGCGCGGGGCGAAGGCACATAACGGCACGCACAGAGCGGGACGGGAAAATGAGACGCGTTCACAGCCCTTGGCTACCGCACGCCACGTTAAAACGCTCACCACCGCGCTGCCCCACTATGGAGCATGTTCTGGCCGGGTAAGCGAGACAAGCGACGCACAAGAACTAGCGACGTGACTCGGCGGGCCGCGGGCGTACCGATGTAGGCCTTGAAAATGGCGTCGCGCTCCGCTGGCGAGGGGTAGCCATCCATGAGCTGGTCGAAGACCGTGACGAAGCCGAGCGCCAAGACCGGGTCGTACTTGTACGTGCGGTTGTAGCGCGTGAGGTGCTGCTGCACGAGAATCTCCTGAATCACACTGGACGAGTCGATGAGAAAAGGGGATGAAACAAGAAATTAGTCGCTAATCCACAGACATTCGTGTGTTGCAAACTTGAACATGGACGCCAGTTCCTCACGCAGCGCTCGACCATGACGGCAACGCCATTGGCAACGACCAGCAAGCGGGGCAGCATAGATAAAGAAACACCTTCAGATTCATATACTAACCCGCGCCATTGCACCTACCCGCCATTTAGGGCGATTTTTAGGGGAAAGAGAGGGAAAGAAACAAAACAGTGTATGCAATCATTGCAGCACACGGCATATCTTCAGAGGAGACAATCGGTATACTCACTTATTGTAGATGCTGGGAATAGGCTTGGGGTACGCCTTGAGGAAAGCAGCCTTGGTGTCAGCCACCACAGGGGGATCTGCAACGGCAAAATCAAACACACACTTCAAAAGATGATTAGTGGCATAGCAGCTTACAGCGCACAGTAGTGCTTCCATGCAGCCGACCCGTCAGCTGGTGCAATAGGAGGGAAGGTAGTTCAGAAAGATGGGTGTTGAAAGAGCGACCAACCCAACTGTGGCTGCTGAATTTAACCGGTGGCCGCGCAGGATTCCAGGGACATGTCCCAACCTCAAACTATAGGATTCCAAGGTCTGCTGAAAGAACGCACCGTGAATGGCTTTCTGAGCACATCGCACGACAGAGTGTTGACGCGACACAGCAGTTGCAGACTGACGAATCAGAAACTGCTGCGCACTGGGAAGCGATGCCCGAGACGATGCAAGCGACTTGGCTTCGAAGTTTGAAGCATGAAGAGCTTCAACACGAGCAAGGGCAAGGGACGACGACGTAGTGGCTGCCATGGTCGCGAGGATTTGAGCTCAACTGGTTCAGGCTTTGCTGAGGGGAAAAGCTCTGAGAAGCAATTGAACGAAGTGCAGAATGCAATGTCGAACACAGCTAGGAGGCGGCTTTGAGGAGGACAGGAGTTGCCTTCAATCTCACCCATGTGGCCATGGCCTGCCAGCTCCCAACTGCCTCGACTCTTCCATTGGAGAGATCGAGGGGACGTGAGTGCATTGCCTGTGGAGCGTCCCGATTCTTCCAGCCACGTGGAGTCACAACAGCGTGAGCTACTTCGAAGTTGACGTGGCCAAGCCAATGGCAGGTCCACCAGAAAATGACTATGGGTGGACACAGCAACTCCACGGAACTCATCTTGTACACCGATGAGTAGACGGTCTAGTTTGACCTTTATCCATCTTTTATGCAAGCTAAGAGTGGGTTAATCAGATTAGGCTAGCACTGCGCAAAACATGAAACTGCAAGCTGAGAGGCCCAAATGGCACCATAACTGGCATGTTAACGCGATAGCTGAGATTGCGTTGAATTTTACCTTGGACTTGTTGCTTGTGCTAGTGTAAATGAGGTTATCAATGTAGATTGAAGGGTCTTGAAGTAAGTTGCGTGAAACCGAAGTAAGAACAAACTGTTGAGGTACTGCTCACAAAACCATGTTGATTTTATATATCATCTTTGCAGCTACGCACACCCGCCTCATCAGTTCCATATGCGTGAAGTTGAATTTATTGGAATCTGATCCACAGTTTGTTCAATACATCAATATATATGTGGTAACATACTGTAACGACTACTACGGTATGTGGTCAGCTTTTGGCTGGGTGAAATCAGGACGTGACGCTCTGCGTCCTTCAGCCCACTCACTCTGCTCACTGGATGAACGGATGAAGCTCTCAGGAATGTGCCTGCGTGGCATGTCCCAACTGGCTGCTCCCCGTCACATTCATTTCCCGCCTCTCGTCCCCTCCGTGCTTGAACCACCACCTACTCTGTGCCTTGCCACGAGCCTCGCCTGAGCATAGCACATTCCCTTGGGACTATCTTCACGTCACCACGCCACCGCTCTCATTTCCTTGCTCAAACCCTTCTCCCAAAACTTGGAGCTCGTCTCCACGAAGCTGGACTGGTCAGCTGTCGAGGTTTGAGGTCTTCGCCAACATGACCGTTGACCTTGAGTTTCGTTTGCAAGCGAGAACTATCCTGATCTCGCCAGACCAAGCCCTGTGCGATAATGGTGGCGCGGTCCGCATGTTTAGTGCAGGCGGGCCTGGATCCACTCCCACACACAGCGGCGGCAGCGAGCCGTCCCTGCACTCCGTCACGCCGTCGTCATCGACGTCGGAGCTCTGCGGGTCGTCAGATGAAGTGGACGAGCAGAGTTCGTCCGCGCCAGTGGCTCATGCAGTGGCGCAGCTGCTGGAGGCGCTTGGGGAGGATCCCTGCCGCCACGGCCTCGTCAAGACGCCTCAACGCGTCGCTAGAGCCATGGATTCCGCCACTCAAGGTACTTATCGGTGCTTAGGGCTCACACAACGGGTGATCATTGCTAACCGATCGTTCCCCATGGGGGATTAGTAACTCGTGCTGTCGTTACCTAACGCTGCCAGCTTCACCACTACATGAAACCAGGGTCCAGAGGCCTGGTGGATCTTTCTTTTTAAGCTGTCGCTTTGTTCCCCGATACTTGCATGCGCAATCTTTGGATGCTTCTGCACTCTGTTCTCCAGAATACCATCTTTTGATGATATCTCCTCCGATGATATCTCCTCTCCTTGCCACGCTTTCTCCCTTCGCGCTTCTGATTGTTCTTGCCTCCTAGCTCTTTGTCTCTGTGCCTCATGGTGGCCCCCGCTTGTAAATGCTCTTTCCTATCCCTTCCACCTCCTCCCGTGTTTGGTAGTCTGGCTGCACCCTAGGCTTGTCCACACGTTGATCTCAACGATACTCCTCGCATCCTCCCCCCTCCCCCATCCATCCCCCCTCCCCCATCCATCCCCCCTCCCCCCATTCTCTCTCTCTTCCTCCCTCTCTCTCTCCCTCTCCTTCTGTCCCTCTCTCCCTCTCCCCGTTCCCTCCCTCCCGTTCACTTACTCATCGTATGCTCTTCTTCCGCTTCCCTGGATCTTGGCCGTCATCGCGCCCTCCCTCTCCTGCACCCGGCGCTCTCCCGCGCAGGCTACAACCATGGCGCAGTGCGCATAATCCTCTCAGCCATATTTTCCGAAGGCCCAGCAGTCGGCAATTCCGCACAAGGGGGCGGTGCAGGGGGGTTGGTTCTGGTGCGGGGCATTGACACTTTTGCGTTGTGCCGAGGCTGTTTGCTTCCGTTGCGACTGCGCTGCCACGTGGCGTACGTGCCGCACAGCCATCGGGTGGTGGGCCTCAGCAAATTGCCACGCGCGGCCGTGGCTCTCTCGCGCCGCCGCGTGTGCGCGCAGTCCTTGGCGCGCCTGCTGTGCCGCACAGTGGAGGAGGCGCTAGCGCCGCTGGGCGTGGCAGTGGTGGTGGAGGCGGCGCACCTCGTTGGGCTCGAGGAGAGCGTCACTGCCGCTCCTGCCAGTGCGGACAACCGGGATTCGCGCGCAGGTGTCGGCTCTAGCAACGAAGGAGCGGCTGGATGGGCGCGGGAAGGCGAAGCTGGGCACGAGTTGGCGTGTGGCGCGGTGGGAGTGTTTTCGAAGCAGAGCGAGCTGGTGGACGAGGTGCTGGCGCTGCTGCAGTTGGACCCAGACGCCGTCTCCGTCGCGCTTCTAGACGACGCTGCCTCTCAAGAGGGGGATGTGAACTTGACCGGAGCAGACGAGACCCTAGGAACCTGCGTATCCGGCGTGACGGAGTTGCCTGAGGACGCTGTTTGCCCTGTGCTAAGGCCACGCGCGTCAGGGAGGGTAGTGCAAGGCCGAGCAGTGCGCAGTATTTGTGGTGACTGCGACATGCGTGCGTGGCTGTCACGTTGTCTACCGGGGCCCGCTCTCAGCGGTGCAGGCGGCACTGCCCTGCAGGAGGCCATCCCAGGCGCGCGGAGTACAGACGGGCTCCTTGCCTCGTGGCGCCTGCTGTGCCGGTGGCTGGGTGCGAGGGAAGAGAGCGGCGCACAGCGGTGTGGTGAGAAGGTGCCGCTGTCAGAGGCAATGCAGGCTGACGACGAGGGAGGAACACGCGAGCAGGTGGACCAACAGAAGCTGAGGGGCACAGCAGACGCGGACACAGAGACGGATGTTGATGAGGCGAGAGTACCATTGTCAGGCCTGTCCGTGTGTGTTGCTCGATACCTCCGCTATCTCTCTGCCGCCACACGTGGCACACACCTCCATCTGCACGATGTTCTTGCCCTTCCCCAGTCATCAGAATGCCGCTTGCGCCCTCCAAACGGAACACATGATGCTGCTTGTTCGGTACCAACAAACGAGGACAAAATAGTAGCTTCACATGATGTAGAGAGCATGGAGAGGAAGGGAGACCCATGCGCTCAGCCTGAGGCAGCTGCATTTGGCTGCAGAGGAGCAGGCGAAGGACTGTTGCCGGAAGCTGTGGTGTGCGGAGAGCAGAGCATTAATGGAGTTGATGGACAGCGTGTAGCGGCTGGGTCTGGTATGCCACCCAGAGCAGTTGGGGGCGTGCACACTCCTTGCAGGCTCACAGACATTCCCATGGAGATGCATTTGGCTGTGCCTTTCTCATCTCTCTGTGAACACCACCTGCTGCCTTTCTTTGGGGTTGTCCATGTGGCGCTTTGCCGATCACAAGCCTGCTCAACCACCCTCGCATCCCCTGCCACTGCAGTCGCTGCTGAGTCAGTGACGCCCCTTCTGTCAGCTGAGGCACTACCTGCTATTTGCTGGCTCTATGGCCGCCGATTACAGGTTCAGGAGCGCTTCACCCGTCAGGTGGCCGAAGCAGTCATGGAGGCATGTGGTGGGCAGGCCGAGGGGGTGATGGTGGTGGTGGAGGCACACCACATGTGCATGATTGTCAGGGGGGTGGAGAAAACGGCTACCACCACATCGACTGTTGCTACGTTTGGCACCTTCTCCTTGTTTCCACGCATGAGAGCCAGGTTCCTTAGTACGCTGCCACGGGCAAACCCACGGTGATGGTTTGGCACGGTATGTATGAATGAACTCTATACACACCTAGACATCCTTTCCAAGAGCTACACGTTTTTTTGTGAATTCATGTCTGTGTTTGGCTATCATTAAGACTGTTCCCAAGTTTTGCGTCTGGGGCATCTTGAAGTTTCAGAAAGACGATTTCCAGAGTTAGCCATCTTGAATGTACGGACTCCTGAAGCACCCCAAAAAATATATATGGGTACATCACTATCATTGATGAACTGGTTATGACCTTCCTCCTTTTTTGCTGTATAGTGGAATGGGTATTTTACCTTACCTGAAACATGACGAATAAGTCAAAATAAAGCAAGGAGGGTCGGTACCGTATAAGATTTTCAGTTGCTAAATTCTTGGCCAGCTTGTAAGGCTTGTGTGCTGTCTGTCGGTATATCGAAGCTTTCTTTGCTGTTATGTCACCCTGATTCACAATCTGGAAGGCTGGTGTGCTGTCTGTGCGCTAGGGTTTAGCCATGAGCACTCTTGGCTAGGCGCTGGTGGATACCCGAAGGTTCCCCACTTTCTTTGCTGTATAGTGGAATGGGTATTTTACCTTACCTGAAACATGACGAATAAGTCAAAATAAAGCAAGGAGGGTCGGTACCGTATAAGATTTTCAGTTGCTAAATTCTTGGCCAGCTTGTAAGGCTTGTGTGCTGTCTGTCGGTATATCGAAGCTTTCTTTGCTGTTATGTCACCCTGATTCACAATCTGGAAGGCTGGTGTGCTGTCTGTGCGCTAGGGTTTAGCCATGAGCACTCTTGGCTAGGCGCTGGTGGATACCCGAAGGTTCCCCACCTTCTATCATCAACACGCCACTTGTCAGCATTTCAGTGGCGCGGTGTTGAAATGGCTTCGATAGTGCTTCGATTCACGATGAGAGCTCCTTCATGCATTCCCAGCGTTTTCGCCATTCTGATCGTCAAGCTGGTCATTGTTCGCCACGCACTCTCGTCCGCACCACACACGGTTCTCGTGCACTAGCGATCTCAGAAATCAATCATTTACTGGTTACTTGGTCAGCACCACAAGCCTCTCGACCTTCCCATTCAGACTTCCTTCACGATTTACAGCAGCTCAAGCCACTTCCTCCCCTCCTCAGTCTGCCAACGTTGCTGAGCCTGTTTCTGCGACCCGCACCCTCTCCGTTGCCACCGCTGTTTGCTAACGATGTCTGAATCAAGCGAGAAGGCATCTGCAGGTGCGTAGTTTCGTAATCTTGGTGCCTTGATACTGCATATGTAGCGTAGCGTCTGTCTCCTTATTACTTCATGCCGTCTTGTGAAATCACAGTCACCACGGAGGCTGTCCCTGATACTAAGGCGGAGTCGACTACCAGCGATGCGACTGCGGCTGGATCGGAGGCGAATGCTGCAACTCCTGGCGGTCCACCCAACGCCTTTGACTTTTCAAGCCTCGCTGGAGTTCTCAATGTTCGTTTCTCTATTTTCTTAAGCACAGTTTGCATGCATACCCGTTCGTCCTATGTCACATCAATTCGTCCACCTGTCGAGGTCTGATTCTCAAAAGTGGCTATGGTATGATCTCACGGCAATTTGATGCGCTTGTGTATGCATGCAGGACCCATCTATCAAGGAGATGGCAGAGCAGATTGCCAAAGATCCATCCTTCTCTCAGATGACACAAGAGCTCCAAGGAAGCGTGAAAGTTGGGAGTGACGGCGCTCCCCAACTTGATCCCCAGCAGTACATGAAGGTCAGATCCTAGCCCTTGGCACTCAGTCGCGTCATTCCTTCCATCTACCGTACGTTATGTATCCTTAACGTACGATTCATCACGATACGACGGGTTCCTTCACAACAGCCTCTTGTATATTTTTGCAGGCGATGCAACAAGTGATGTCGAACCCAAGCTTCATGACTATCGCGGAGAAGTTCGGCAACGCTCTGATGCAGGTATGGGCTCTGACTTTCGCTTGTTCCGATTGTGATTTTTGCGTATGTTCAAGCCAGATAAACGGTATGTCGATTGCATGTTCATTAGTCATAGAGGTTGGTGTTCTTCGAATTATCCATCTTACTGAGCAGCTATCTTGTCTGTTGCTGGGTTTACATGTGTCCGCAGGATCCTCAAATGATGACCATGATGCAGACTCTCCAGAACCCGTCGTATCGTGATCAGATGCAGCAGCGGGTAGCTGCCATCAAGGAGGATCCTTCTTTGAAGTCGGTCCTCGAAGAGCTCGAGACTGGGGGCCCTGCAGCAATGATGAAGTATGTTTCCCTTGCGAAGTACTTATTAATGACGATGGGACGCAACGTCACGAAGATCTGGTCTCACACTGTTCTTCTGTGCTTATACGCGCCTGTGCTCGCAGGTACTGGAACGATCCCGAGGTTCTGGGCAAGCTTGGCAAGGCCATGGGCGGTTCGTTCCCTATTCCTCCTCACATGGCGGGGGCAGCTGGTCCGTCTGGCGAGGAAGATGCTGCGGAAGAGGCAGCAGAGGGAGAGGAAGAATCTCCTTCACTTCACTCGGCAGCCAGCAACGGCGACGCAGAGGTATTTCTCATTCCCTGTAGCCTCGTCGGATCTTACTTGTTCCTTCGGCTTCCATGCCCGTGTTTTCTGCTGCTGTTATATTAAAGAACCCCGTCTCTGAGCATAACAGAATGAACGGATATGTATGTGCTCTAGGTGCAGAAGGGATAACCATGTCATAAACTTCGAGTAGCTTTCTCTGTTGGTGGATAGGGTTGCAAAGACATTCAAAATGTGGATGCATATGGCATATAGTTGATTTTGCATGGAATAGTCAAACTATTGGATGGTGGTTGCTTAATGTCCTGCACCAATCTGGCTGGTTGTTTTTACAGGAGGTGAAGCGGCTGATTGCAGAAGGGGCAGATAAGAACGAGAAGGATGGCGAGGGAAGGACAGCCCTCCATTTTGCGTGTGGATATGGCGAGGTATGTTGAACAAATTGCACATCAAACTATTTCCAGTCGAAGCTGGATTACGCCTTTCTCACACGCTCTTGATTTGGGCAGGTCAAGTGTGCGGAGGCACTTCTTGATGCTGGTGCTGATGTGGACTCTTTGGACAAGAACAAGAACACACCTCTGCATTATTCGGCTGGCTATGGGCGCAAGGAGGTTGTGGAGCTGCTGGTGAAGAGTGGTGCTGCAGTGTGAGTTTTAAAGCTCTGTTTACCAAACCGTTGTCTCACTTCTGTTTTCTTCTATTTTCATGACACCCCCCCTCGTTTCCCCCCCCCCCCCCCCCCCCCCTCTCTCTCTCCATTCCCCTCCCCCATTGGCGACTCCTGGCAGCACACTGAGGAACCTGGATGGCAAGACAGCAGCAGATGTGGCCAAGTTGAACAGCCAGAAGGAGGTGGTTGCGCTCTTGGAAAAAGATGCATTTTTGTGAGCTGATGTGGTCGGATTTGGTTGTTGCTTGGCCGTTCAACCCTCAGATGGCGTTATGCGTTAGTGCTCATCTAGTCAACTTTCAGAAGCTACCGTACATCTGCAGTATTGTAGTTGGAGTGAGCTGGAGTATTCTAGTTGTCATGGTCGTTCAGTACCACCAGTTTCCAATGTTCACATTTGAATGAAGCTTATTCTATGCTCCCTCGGTTGGTATTATTACACCAGCTAAACTAGATGTGGACGTTTGCCAGCAACCCCCAGAACGAAAAGCGTGCAGCAACTCTTTCACAACATTGGATACTCTGTTTAGACAATGATGCCTTCGCTGGGTGTGTATGTGAAACCTTCGTGAAACTGGGTGAGGAAGTTTGCCAAACAAAAGGTAGAAGTCACTCAACCAAGATGACACTTAACAGAACTCTAAAATCAAGTAGCTCCAAAGGAACAATTTCTGGTAAACGATGATGAATCAGATAATACTTCTCAGCTTAGAAAATGTCTGGCCACAAATGCTAGTGAAATAGTGGGTGTACAGCTGCAACTTGCCCTCGTTGCTTCAGCTTAGCAGAGCCTTCTCAATGGTCTCTTTCAGCTCCCCACTTTGAAAACCCTCTGCACAATACAAGCCCACAGAAACATGACAACATCATAAACGCCTGCCAGTGCATGTAAACGCATGGTGCCCAGAAGGGCCAAGAACTTATCGAGCCCTACATCATCACTCTAACCCGCGATGGGGCGAACACACACCTCAAACACTAAGAACTGAACAATTAAGCAGGACATGACTCACATCGCTCAAATGACTGCCTGGCCTCTCTGCTTACCGATAGTAATATCACAACCGCCATAAAACTCCCCATCGATGTATAGCTGGGGGAAAGTAGGCCAGCTGCTGTATTCCTTCATGCCCTGTCGTAGCCGGTCATCCTCAAGAATATTGACCGTCTCAAACGGCACGTTCAGCGTGTTGAGGATCTGAACGCAGGTGTTAGAGAAGCCGCACTGCGGAAACTGCTTGTTGCCCTTCATGAAGAGAATGACTTTGTTCTCGGTAATGAACTTATCTAGTGCCGACTTCAACTCCGGCGTCAGTGCTGCAATGAGAAAATTGGGGAGAATTGACGGAGAAGGTGGTGAGGCGTGAGCAGCAGAAATTACGTTGTTTGTAGCGTGATTAGGGAATGTGCATGGCGGCGACGGCATACAAAAAACTGGTCTATAAACTCTAACAGCCGGGAGTGGGCAATCTTGTGGATTGGTGACATGGACCACGGCCACGCGAGAGCAAGCGTTGCACCGAAGTTCCTTCAACCGAAGCAACTGCCTTATCCTTTGAGGCTAAATTCGCATAGCTCAGACAAGATGCAACATACTACCACGTCCGACAGGAGGAAACAGACGAGAAAAAAACTCGTAAACGCAAGCACATGCATACAGCTACGTGACATACCGCCGGAGCTCGGTGCGCCGAAGCTAGCACGCACATCTGGTCTCCTGTGTGGTGCTGCCACGACAGCTCGCGAAGCGCTGGCATGGAGGCGCAGCGGCACGGCGAGGAATGAAGAGGACAGACGTGATGTGCTCCTAGCTGTCACGGACGAGGGGCAGCCCTGCCTGAGGTTCGCAGACACGGCAGGGGCGAAAGTGGCGGTAGCCATTCTGGCAGAAAGGCACAACAGCTAGGATGTGGTGGAATGGAATGAACAAGTGCGGAGGGGAGAATGAAAGGGATGGGTAAAGTGATTACTGGAACTGGGCAAGAGTTCAAAATCCAACGAATGTGCTGACGTGGTCGCTCAGTGAGAACATTCTAATAAATACCTGACACGCGGCACTGCGTTATTTGGTACACCGACCGGTTCAGCCAGCTCGTGTTCGGGACTGCAGCCAGTAAAGTGTAGCTTTGGGGGTTCAAGTACGGTACATGAATCTCGGGCATTCCCGATTCAATACACGAACGCAAAGAACATATAGTAACACTAGGATTGCGACCCAACTTGAAACTACCACATACCGACTTGTTCTGGACACGTGTAAGAGGATTATTAGACTACATGTGGTAGACAATGCATAAATTCAGTTTAGTGTAATACATACCACTGAAGTGAACAGGCAACATGTCAAAAGTCCTCAATGTCTTCAATATCATTATGTCTGTCTTGATCAGAAAGAGCACTATCTGTTTTGGCGCTCCCCATAGATTCTTGCAGCAAACTGTGAAGCGAACGTAACCGTGCCACGCTGATGTCAGATGCAATGTCAGCACTATTGCCCCTTAGAGAGCCAAGTGGCAAGCTTTGGCTTGCTGCAAGAGTAAAACACTCAGACCTCAACTCCAGGAGTGATGCCTGGGATTTGCAGGGGGCAGGGGTTGACATAGACCGGGGAAAGGGACATGGATACAATACAACGAAGTTGGGACTGCAGACGCACAGGAAAGTGCAAGCGGATAGCCACTGAGAAACAGCATGGGATGAGATACTGAGCTGTTAAGCGTGCTGCAGTATACCAGCAAGTGAAGAGACAAGCTTACCTTATTGCGGCGCATTTGTGCTTCAGTGGCCCAAACAACTGGTGAGCGGAAGGCAAAGAACCTGCAGAAGATGATACACACAGGCATGGTATGAGCAAGAGGCTTGTTTGTATAACACCCTGAATGGACATAGTTCAGAGCATCAACGAACTGCAACATTTCAAAGGGACCAGGGGGACCAGCATCACAAAGAACTTTTCTCCCCCCCTCATTTATCCCCATTCCCCCCCCTCCCCTCCCCCCCCCCCCCCCCCCCTCCCCCAGATGCCATTGTCTGACCGCTTGGGAGCAGGCTGAGTGTTCCAGAACATGACTCCCCTCGCTGCCACGGACGCTGCTGCTGCTGCTCGCACTGCTGCAGGTGACAGATCCTCATCCCCGCCACCCATGCCATCTGCTGCCATGCTGCCGCCGCCAGACCACGAGGAGAGGTGCGAGGAGGAGGACGAGGAGAGGAGCGTAAGAGCGTCACTGAGAGCAGCAGATGCACCCACGGCAGCCTCCAAGCCGTCACTTGGATGCAGCATGTCCAACACTGGTGGGCTCATTCCAGAGGGTGTGGAGAAGACGTGCAACCATGATCCGGGAAAGGGAGAGGAAAGGCAGATGAAGGGAGAAGAAGGAGGAATGAGGTTTCAAGTACGATATGTTGCTGTGAAATGTAGATAGAAGTAGGCGCTACAGGAAGTACTCCTGTAGGCACACCTACCAGGTGGAAGCACTTCCACGAGGTGGAATGATGTGCATGGGCCATGCACACCTACCATGGCACCCCCCAGGCGGTGACTCACTGTTCTCATGCAGGTAGCAGCAGAGCTTCATGGGGGCAAGCTGGGAGCGCTGAATGACCACCTCTGCTGCCTCCATGTCCACTGCTGCTCGCTGCAACTCCTCCCGCACTGCTACTGCACTGCCTCCACTCACCCCATCGCCACCACTTCTTTCAATGCCACCATCACCAGCATTGCCTATAGGTGCATCAGGGCCAGGAGCGCACTGTTGACTGTCCCCTGTGATCACCTGCTGCGAGCTGGGCTGCCCCCACTGCTGCCACCTAAGTGGATTCGCCACCCACTCATGCTCTTTCCGCTGCCCCGCTTCTGCCATGGGCTGGACTGAAGTGGGCACACAGCAGACATGCAAGTGACATCCCAGAGAGGTGTTTGGGGTGGGGGAGGGGGGTGGAGGTGGGACCAGACTTTTTTTTGAAGGGGAATGGAAAAACCAAAGGGAGGAGGGGGGTCACTTCAAAACAATCACCACAGCCGGCAACGTGATAAGAATGGAGGGTGCAACGTGACTTCCATGGACTTTTGCAGAGGCCACAGAACAAGCGTGCAGGTGCGCAGGGAAGCGTGCTGCGTGCAGGTGCATGGGAAGCAGGCAGGTGGGTGAGTCACCTGCAGGGAGGCGCTTATTGTGAAGGAACTTGCCCACGGCGTGGAAGAGAGACAGCGGGTCGTCACGACCTGCGCCCAGCACTGCATCCCCTGAACCTCCGCTCTTCCCCCCTGTACCAGCAGTACCAGCATCAGCTCGCCCACGTCTCAACAACACTCCTTTCTCTACTCCCCCTGCCTCTCCTCCACCACTTGACTCGCAACACGTTAGATCCACCACCTCACTTGAGCCTCCCCCGCCTGCTGCCACTGGCTGCACTTTCCTCTTCTTCCTCCTTTTCCCCCCTTCCTCCTTCTGCTCTGTACCTCCCCCACTACCCCCCTTCCCCACGCCGCCGCCCCCACCCCCAGCAGCAGCACCCCCAGGGTCCCACGTGTGGCTGGGGGAGTGGCGGGTGGAGAGGGAGAGCAGCTGTAGCTGCGAGATGGCATGGCGGAGGTCCCCTGCACTGCTGTCCGCCACAGCCGCTACAGCCGGGGCGGCAAGCGGAGATCCTGCCGCCGCTGCCACGGCTGCCAGCACCTTGTGCATGGCGCCTGGTGCTATGGGGTTGAACTCCACCTGATGCCCACACGGCACCCACACACACGTGGTGCATGCACGGGCACGAGGAGGGAGGGGAAGGCAATGGAAGAGACAAGGAAAAGGTGACGAGGCACGTGGCGGGGGACGAGTGAGCGCTTTGGGGGAACTCTGGAGGGTGCCCTGCAGAGTAAGCAGAGGACCTTAAAAAAAGGCATGGCACACGTGAGCATGGTTGCACTGACTCAGGAGATGTGTGACGCGAATGTTTCCGAGAGGAACTGGCGTGTGGGTCTACGCCCGTAGAGATGTGAGCACTGATGCGTACAGAATCAGCACTTGTGTGCATAACTAGCTACAAGCACTCCATGTGCTATGCACATGCCGCAGCCCACCTTGTGAGCCCCTCCGCTCATCAATGCATCCAGCACATCCCGTGTGGGCACCCCATCCCCCTGCCTCCACTCGCCTCGCATCCCTCCACGTGCACTGCCTGGAGCAGAGGAGCTGGCAGCGGTGGTGGACGCGGTGGGGAGGGAGAGCACGACCACGGCCGGCACATGCGAGGCGGCAGCCAGCGAGTGCATGGCGTGGCACAGCGCGTCACAGCGCTGCCGCCCCGACACGAATGGCAGGTCGTCGATCAGTAGCACATGGCGTGGAGGAGCGGCGGGCGAGGGCGAGGTGGATGGTGATGGCGGTGCTGGTAGAGCTGGCGGTGACGGCGGCAGCAGAGGGGACGATGGGACCGCAGATGCCCCCACATGCCGTCCGCTCACCACAGCACCTAGTGCGCTGCCGCCCTGGCTTCCACGCCTTACCACCTGCTTCTTCTCCTTGGCCTTGCCTCGAGCACCATGAGCATCATCATGAGCATCACTGGCTTCGCGGAATAATGGCAGCCACTCCTCATCGTCACCACCATCATCCTCATCAGCTTCATCACCATCACGCTTCTCCCCATCACACTCCCATGACTCAACACTGTTGCTCCTCCTACCCTCACTATTCCCCTCCATCCCCTTCGTCCCACCAGCTTTCGCTTTCTCGCGCCCCGTCTTTTCCCCTCTCCGCCCCTCTCTCACGCCCTCTGGTCGCTGCACAGCCCCCCTCCCACGACTTATCGTTTGCCTCTCTGCCGCTGAAACAGACAATGAAGCCTTATTCCGCTTGCCAGACAAAGGGGGGCGAGAAGGGGGCGGCATCGTGGAGGGCAAGCGACGGGAGGTGGGAGAAGCGGTGGGTGGGGGGGAGCGAGCGGAAGGTTGCGGTGCTTCAGGTGGGGCAAGAGTGGGTGCGGGAGTGGTGGTGGAAGTACGAGTGGGCGTGGTGGAGAGGGCGAGGGGTGAGAAGAGGCGCGAGGAGCGGATGAAGTCGGAGAAGCTGGCGAGCTTCTCCTGGTGCTCCACGCCTGCAGGGCAGGGGGTCACATACACGACACGACCACACATCAGTGGGGCGGGAGCAGCACTTGTCGTGAGCAGCACAGAGAGGTGGAGGACAAGGGACACAACACTGCTGCATTGCATCCCCTTTCTCCGCTGCTGCTGCTGCTGCTCCGCTTTCTGAGGGCTTTAAATAGCAGAGCAAGGCACATGGAGGGCACGGGGGCGTACCAGCAGCAGCCTGGGAGGAGCGGATGTGGCGGCGGTCGTCCCACAGCAGCGGCACGGGCGCCTGCCAGTCCTGCACCGTCACTCCCCGTGCTGCTGCCACCACGTGCACCAGCGCCTGCATGCACACACACAACAGCACGGCCCGTGGGATACACACGAGGGTCATGCGTGCTCGAGCGTGTGAACAACCTTACAATAAGTCAGCTATGGTGGCAGAGGAAAGGAACAAGGGGGTTGGATAGAGCGAGCAAGAGGGAGAGAGGGGAGAGGTGGGGGAGAGGGGATGGCAGTGAAGCAGGGAGGGACATGGAGAGGACTGACCGTCTTTCCACAACCCGGGGGTCCCACCAGTGCAAGCACCTTGCTGGGCTGCTGCCATGAGCTCTCCTGCACCCATAATTAGCACGTGCATCATGGCAACACATGGCCGCCCGCACACCATGTGCGTCAGGAAGGGCCAGGGAAAGGTTGAGAACGGTATGGTTGCTGCAGGTTGGCGGCATCAGAGTGCAACACCTAAGAGCATGCTGGCAGAGGGCGAGAGGCCGCACAGCCCAGCAGCAAGCAGCTGTTCACGCAAGGCAAGCGGCACACAAGGAGCATGTGGGAAGAGGTGTTGCTGTACCTTTCCACTGGCACTGCCCTTGTGCTCTGCTCCTGCCGCCTTGGGCTTGCTCCCTTTTCCCTTGCTCTGCTGCACTGGCCTGTGCATGACAGGCGGGCCGAAGTGCGCGTCGAACCACTGCGACACCTCCTGCACCTGATGGTAGCCATGCGCGCCACGGGGTGGGTTAGGGCAACCATGATTTGCATTTGCAACGAACGAGTTGCACGGCGTTGATAAGTACATAGCAATTTTGTATGGCTTTGGCAATGAGCTACGATCACATTGCCAGAACCAGGTATCCTTGATTTGTTTTCTAGTGTTCAGGAGGTGCTTGATCTGGGTAATCAGGAAAACAACTTGGCTGACTGCTTTAAAAGCTGCTCCTTGATTTCGGTAACTTCGGTGAGTGTTTGATACTGCTCAAGACACAAGACCCAAAGCAACGCGAGCAGCGCAGCACACGGCGCGGCTGACCTTCTTGCGGTGCACGGCCAGCTCGTCCTCCCACTTGGGCGCGAACCGCTCCACCCACAGCCCCGCGTCGCTTCCGCACACGCCCCCGCCGCCAGGTGGCACGTCACCGCTGACACAGCTCGGGTCGCCAGTGCGTGGCGAGGTGCCGGGTAGCGGGACGGCTTCGGAATGCGAGTTGCGGTTGGGAATGCGCCAAGCTTGAGTCGAGGTGAAACTCGTGCCCTGACTGGCGCTCACCGGATCGTCCAAATCCACCAGATCGAACGTTAGCTTCTGCTGCTGGAACGGCTTTCCTCCCTTGTCGACCTTGCTGCTAGACTCGCGCTTCTGAGAATCTCTCACCGCGCTCGATGCACCACCCCCTTTCTTTCTCTTGCCCCTCATACTGGCTAGACGCTCACAACCGATGGCATCCGCTAAAGAACATATCTTGGCCGTGTGACATTCGTAGGAACAAAGAAACCGGAATCGTGCTTTGCAGCTGATATGGGTAAGGATGAGCAGCAATCGTGTTTCGTGTAAGGATGGACTCGAGACTGGTGTAAGCTGCGACCTCCCAGACTCGAGCTTTGACTTGATTGGCTGAGACCAAGATATATCCTAGAACACATATCTACATAACAGCTAGATACGTCTGAAACCATCTAAACAATATATATGTTTACAGTCTGTTAAACATGTAGTCATGAATATTTGACAATACCCTTTTTATGCGGATGAAATTCACTATGAGAAACATGCAATATTTGGAAATACGGTTATGAAAGGTGGCTAGTGACGAGTGCTGATGATAATTTACAAGAAGATTAATATAGTTCTTGGATGAGAGCTTATATGAGCACGTCAAAATTTTCATGTTCTATCAAGTTTGATGCGGCGATGGTCTTTCGAAGACACGTTCATCCGAGGTGTGTGTGGCTTGGAGGAGTCCCGCATTTTGCGCAGTGTCCAGTTGGCGTCCTCTGGTTGCTGCACCTGCTTCCCGCTCTCTTGGAGTTTGAGTGCCAATCTTTTCATCCATCAATGTTCCGGCACGTGTATGAGCGAACACGTCAGATCTCTGCTTCTGGTGATGGTGGATCCATGGCAAGCCTGCGTGTCACTGGTAACAAGGCAATGTTTGATTTGTAAGTGCGCGAGAGCGATGCGTGATTCGCGCGCATGACTTCGCTGCGCAGGAAGGTTCTATGGCACCTCGATTCTGCATCGATGCAGCAAAGCTGTCCGAAATGTGAATGCCTGCTAACAGGAGGGATGCTCGCTCCATTCATACATGTACCATGTCATGAGCTTTTCTCATTTCACTCTCTAGTCCCAGTAGCATCTCAGTCTCTCGCAGCTCCTCGTCTGCCCTTCATTCTTCCCCTTTGATCGGCGCTGCCTCCCACACCAAACATGGCTCTCCGTCTCGGCGCTCATCCCCTCGCCGTCTCGGTGCCCGCTTCTCAGAGCGCGACGCCTCGTCATTGCCAGGAGGCAAAAAGCGTGGCCCGAGTAACCGTCGTCGCGTCGGCTTCAGCGAAGCAGCCTGAGGTATGTATGTGGCACATCCACCCGCATCATCTCACGCTATAGAGTCGAAAAGCCATCACAATCGAAGCATGCCCTATAATCGCCGTACAACTGTAATGAGCAACTCTTCACTGAAAATATATATGCTTGTGGATTAAAGATTGTAACTTGCAGCCTGCCTTGTGCAACTGTCATACCCTACCTCTTAATATTTCTTTAAACTTGACTTTGTCTAGCCTGTCACGTTGATTCACTCATCCATGACGTTCAAATCATGTTTTTTTTCTCCAAATTTACTATCTTTCATCAGGACCTCGCAAAGCCAGTGAGTCGTCGGCACGTGTTCATTGGTGCGGGGGCGCTCGCAGCAACCACATCCCCCTTCTTCGCCGGAGCTCGCTACGCGTTGGCGGAGGAGGAGGGTGCAGAGGAGCTTGCGCCTGCGCTCGTGGACGAGGCCGTTGAGGAAGCCATTGCGGAACCCGAGGCCCAGCCAGAGCCCGAGCAGGAGGCCACCCCCGAGCTTGAAGCGGAGGCTGAGGCCGATCCTGAGGCCGAGCCTGAGACTGTGGCAGAAGCCGAGGCCGAGGCCGTGGCCGAGCCTGAAACTGTGGCGGAAGTTGAGGCCGAGGCTGTGGCCGAGCCTGAGACTGTGGCGGAAGCCGAGGCCGAGGCCGAGGCCGAGCCTGAGACTGAAACGGAGGGTGAAGTGGAGAAGGTGGGCGAGGTGGAAGTATTTGGCGACGATGATTCTGATTCAGATTCGGACTCGGAGTATGGCGAGCTGGAGGAGACGCCCGTGCTCAAGGCCATGGCTGAACTCTCCGGCTTCTTGCAGGAGCTGAAGAAGCTCACGGAGTTGCCGTGATTCTCAAGCGCTACTCTCTCTGTGTGTGCGTGTGTTTGTGTGACGGCCCTGAGGTCGTAGACTGGATGCTGCTCTTTTTTACCCTCCTGTGATTTTTTTTTGTGTGGACGGGGCTTGTTTGTATACAGCGTCATGTAGTTTTAAGTTGAGAATCACCTAGGTTGATGGCAAACATGTTATGAGACCCGAATAGTGACTTTCATCTGATTACAGTTTACTTAATATGGGATACACACAAAGAGTCATTAATCCTATATATACAAGTACATCCAGCAGATTTAAGAGCCCATTATTACGGTATGTACACGACGGGCTTGTGACAAATAGTAACACCCGTGATTCGTGGTGGCAGGCCATGCACCAACAGCAACACTGTTACGGTACCGTGCACTTGTCCGTTATTATGACCCAGCTCCCCTTTCCAGCCCTGAGCAAGGTCAGCCCTGCACCTGCAGTGCGATGAGATCGAGCTTAGCGGGGCGCTTGTAGCGGCGCAAGAGCAGGGAGGAGCACACCACGCTGACGGACGACAGAGCCATGGCAGCACCGGCGATCCAGGGAGGCAGGCGGAAGTGCAGGGGCGTGGGGAAGAGCACTCCAGCAGCAATGGGGATGCCCAGCACGTTGTATCCCAGCGCCCACACATAGTTGAGCCGTATACGAGTCAACGCCGTGCGTGCCAGATGAACGGCTGTGATCACATCCTCCAGTGACGACCGCATGAGCACCACGTCAGCTGCTTCTATCGCAATGTCAGTACCGGCACCTATGGCCATGCCCACATCTGCTGCCACCAGTGCCGGAGAGTCATTCACCCCATCGCCCACCATGGCCACCTGCTGCCCCTCCGCCTGCCTCTGCCGCACATACTCCGCCTTGTGCTGCGGCACCGCCTCAGCCACCACGTCGCTCTCTGCTATCCCCACGGCGCGCGCCACGGCCCTGGCGGCACCCCAGTTGTCCCCAGTGACGAGCACGGGGTGCATGCCCATGGCCTTGAGCAGAGCCACCACGGGCGCTGCCTCGGGCTTCACAGGGTCTGACACCGCCACGCCTGCCACCACCTGCCCGTCTAGGGCCACCAGCACGGCTGTCTGAGCGTCTGCCTGCACCTCCTCCAGCCACTGCTCCGCTTGTGCTGGCACGGGCAGTGGAGTTGTGCAGGGGAGCGCAGTGGGGGATGGCTCAGATGAGGGGTCCATGGTGGGCGGGTCCCGCATCAGCTTCAAATTGCCCACTGCCACGTGGCGACCGCTGATTTGACAGATGATTCCATGGCCTGGGATGGAGTGGAAGGAGTCGACTGGAGGGAGGGATGAAAGGGCGCCTCTGCTGCTGCTGCTGGGGTTAGTGATGGGTAGTGGTGATCCCACTCTGCTCAATGCCCCTCCTGTTGCTGCTGCTGCTGCTGCTGCTGCTGCTGCTGCTGCTGCTGCTGCTGTTGCTATCAACATTGTGAGCAGGGGCAGCAGTGGACGGGCCAGAGGAGAGAACGCATAGCTCGACAGCGGCGTCAGAATGAGAGAGAGGGAGGAGAGGAGGAGGGGACGAGGGAGGCGAGGGAGGTGGGGAAAGAGGAAGTGAGGGCGGAGGCTTGCTAAAGGAGGAGGTGGAGGAAGTGGCAGAGGCAGAAAGGGGGAGGGGGAGGGGCGGGAGTGGGATGTGGGAGAGGGATGGGAGCCAGGAGGGGAGGAGGGGCGAGTGCATGCAGTAGTCGGTGATGGCCTTGGCCAAGGGGTGCTCGCTGTTCGCCTCAGCAGCAGCGAGCAGGGCGAGCAGGTCGGGCATGGCGAGGCGGGAGGTGAAGAGGGCCGTGGCGGTGACACTAGGCTTGCCCTGAGTGAGCGTGCCCGTCTTGTCAAACACCACCGCCTCTATCTTATGCGCCCTCTCCAGTGCATCCGCGCCCTTGATCAGAATTCCCTGCTGCGCGCCCACCCCCGTGGCCACCATGACTGCTGTGGGCGTGGCGAGCCCCAGCGCGCACGGGCATGCGATCACCAGCACTGCTATGCCGAACTGCAGCGCCAGCTCGAATGGCGTCATGCCCGCTGGCAGCCAGGAGGCGGGGTAGGTGCTGAGGTAGCCCGTTATGAGCCACGCTAGGAAGACGACCAGGGCGAGCAGCACGACCTGTGGGGGGAAAGAGGGGAGGGGGGAGGGAGGGAGGGAGAGAGGGAGGATGGAACAAGATTAGGAAGGAGAAGAGGGGAGGGAGAGGAGGAGGTGAGATGTGTGGAAAGAAGGCCATTGCGCAAGTATAGGCGGGGGGTGAGGTGCAGCAATGTCATGACGGGTAAGTGGGGCGAGAAAGATGGCAGCAGATGCAAGGCAGTGAAGGGCAAGCAGGAGGCAAGCATACACCGGCCAGGGCGCTCACAGTGGGCACAAAGACGGCTGAGATCTGGTCTGCCACGCGTTGGATTGGTGCCTTGGCCATCTGCGCCGCCTCCACCAGCTTCACTATCTGTGCCAGCGCTGTCTCACCGCCCACGCGCGTGGCGCGCACGTGCACACTGCCGCCCAGGTTGAGCGTGCCGCCGATGACCGCGCTGCCCACCTCCTTGAGCACGGGGCGCGCCTCACCAGTGACCATGCTCTCGTTGGCGTATGTGTGCCCCCACACCACCACACCGTCCACTGGCATCTTCCCGCCTGGTGCCACGCGGATGATATCCCCGCGCTGAATCAGCGCCGCTTCTATCTCCCGCTCGCCCACCACGCGCATCCCCTCTCCCGTCTCACCCATCAACCGCTCTTCCTCCCCCTCCCCTTTCCCCTCGCCTTCTCCCGCAGAGCTCCCCTCAACCGTCCCCTGCGGCCCCCCCTGCGCGCCCGTGTCCACGGAGAGCAGCACGGCGGTGGCGGGGGCGAGGTTGAGCAGCTTGGCGATGGCATCGCTGGTGCGGCCACGTGCCACGGCCTCCAGGTACTTGCCCAGCACGATGAACGAGATCAGCATGGCGCTCGTCTCAAAGAAATCCACCCCCGCGTATGCCGACGCGGACGCGGACGCAGACGCCTCCCCGCCCCCCTCCATGCCCTCCATAATCATGCGCGCCACATGCGCCACCGCGCCACTGCCGCTAGGGGCAGCAGCAGCGGCGGCGGCGGCGCCGGCGCTGGGAGGCGCCCCGGCGGGGGCGGCGGGGGAGGGGGAGGGCAGGGGCGTGGCGGCGGAGGCGATGAGGGCGAAGAGGGAGTAGAAGAAGGCGGCGTTGGTGCCCATGGCCACCAGCACGTCCATGTTCGCTGCTCGCCTCCTCAGCGCGTAGAATGCGCCCGTGTAGAAGCGCCACCCCACCACGAACTGCACTGGCGCCGTCAGCACCCCGCGCAGCAGCATGCCGATGGGCAGCCTGGGGGGGAGCAGGGATAGAGGGAGGGGGAGACGGAGTGAGTGGATGTGTCAACCAAGCCTGAGACAGCACTGAGCGTGTTTGGGGGGGGGGGGGGGTGAGTGCAAGGAAAAGCAAGAAAAGTGCATCCCAAATATTGGTACCTTAGTATAGAAATGAGAGAGGGATGAGGGAGGGTGAGAGGAGGCGTTTTTTGTGTTGCTTTGTTTCTTGCTTTTTATTTATTTTTATTTTATTTTCATCTAAAGGTTGGGGACTCACGAGTTGATGACGGGAGTCATGAGCCAGGCATCGAAGGGCGGGATATGGTTGAGCACCATGGCGAGCAGGAACACGGGCACCGTGAACACCAGGCTCCACACGAACTGCCGCCACAGCTTCCGCACCTCCTGCTCCCGCTCCTTCGCCCCCGCGCTCCCCCCTACCCCCCCCTCGCTCTCCGCCAACTCCACCTTCTCCACCCCGCCCACCCCCGCCACTTCCGCCTGCAGCGCCTCGAGAATGTCGCGCGCGCCCGTGCGGTCCGGATCGAACGTCACTGCGGCCGTCTCGCTCTCCGCGTGCACTGCCGCGGCTGACACTCCCGGCAGCGCGCACAGCACTGCCTCTATGCGCGCGGGCAGCGGAAGCGGTGCCGCGCGCGCGGAGCTAGCTGCGCTTCCGCGTGGAGATCCGTTCCCGCCCTCGGAGGATCGCGCGGGCAGTGCGGAGGCAGCGGCGGCGGCGAGGCCGTGGAGGCGGTAGCGGAGAGTGTGCGCCTGGGGTGCGTCGGCGGAAGCGGCGGAGTTGTCGATGAGATGCGCGGAGGGGAAGCCCGCGTGGTGCACGGCGGCGAGGAGGTCGGCGGGAGAGAGCGCGGTGGAATCGAGGACGACGTGCGCCTCGGCCGTGGAGAGAGACACTGTGGCGGATAACACGCCCGCATAGCCCTGCGCGCACACGGGAACCCGGTGGGGGAGAAGCGGGGGGGACGAGAGGTGAGGAAGAGGCGGCAAGGAGGAAAACTCTCTTTCCGGGAGAGCGACCGACGGGGAGCGGTGGCGGAAGGTCAAGCGCGACGCTGAAAATAGGAAAAGCTACTCGCGTTACAGTGTAACGCTGGTTGAACTGGTTACCAGACTCACCTGTAACATTTCCTCCAGCGAGCCGGCGGAGCTGACGAGCAGCAGGTCGGGGATGCGCAGCCGGCAGGGGCGCGCTCCCCCCACGGGGTGAAGGGCGGCGGCAGCGGAGAGCGGATCGTCCATGGCGGTGACCTCGAACCCCGCATCCTCCACCGCTGCCGCGATGTCGTCCGCCTGTAGTGCGCCCGCGCGGGGGGCAAGGAGGGGGGAAGGAAGGGGGGGAGGAACGGCGGAGGACGGGGGGAAGAAACGGGGAAGGAAAGGGGGAAGTTAAAGTGAGGAAAGCGAGGCAGAAAGTTAGCCGTCATCGACATGCTAGCGACTCCGAGCAGCAGGGGGGGGGAAGCGCGACTCACGTTTGTCTTCATGTTGTTGAACGTCACTCGCGCGCGCCCGTTAACAACGGACACGACGGCCCGCGACACGCCGTCGACGCGCATCAGCGCCTTCTCGATGGACGCCGCGCATGCCGCGCACGCCATGCCGCCCACCGCCAGCTGCACCTCCGCCGCCATGTTGCCTGCCGCGCCGCCGTCATCCTCTCCCGCGCCGCTCCCTGCGCCTCCCGCTGCGGCGCGGTGCGAAGGAGAAGCCCGAGTAAAGCTGCTGTCGCTTGCATGCGGGGACGAGGGGCGGTCCGGCAGACGAGAATCCTTGCGCGGACGGCGCTTGGGCGGAAAGAGCGCCGCGCGGAAGAGGTTCCAGAGGGACTTGCGGCCTGATCTTGACATGATGGCGTCGGCTACTAACGCGTCTGAAGGATGGTCCAGGGCACGCCCAGAGTCGGGTAAAACCATGGCTGGTTCAAACAGGTCGCACTGGGTACGGTCTTATGGCCACTAGGATGCAGGGAGCGCGAGCAGGGAAGGGCGATTGGCCCGGCGGAATGCAGCGGGGCGGGGAATGCGCGCGGGGAGGAGCCGCGTAGGGGCACGATGGGAGATGGCGGGGTGCGGTGCGGAGGTGTCGTTGTGTATGATGCAAAGAGTTGTGAGCTAGTGCAGGTGAGCATATACGAAATTGAGGGGCGCGATTTACGAAACGATGGGTATGTGTCACAGTGATGGGGATTTTATAGACGCATGGCTAGAACATAAGGACAAATCTCGAATGGTCCCGACTCGCGAGACACGTGTTGGCATGGATGGTGCATTCGCGAAGCGTCTGTGAGGAAGCTGCGTGGGCGTGTGTCGGTACCTTCAAGGTGGTTTCTTGTTGATACATTGCGGATACACTGCGCGGTTACAGCTTCATATGAATTAATAACGGTGTTAGTGTCAACCTGGAAAAGAATAGGATTAGCACATAATCAAGATTACAAGACATCAACATTATTGTGAAGCCTTGTTACCCCTTTTCCCAACTGCTTTCCCTTTCCCACCCTTTTGTTGTGCAGCGATAGCCTTGGTTGTGCCCTTTCTAGTACCAGCCACCTGAGAGATTGCCTGCTTTTCCTCTTTCCCTGATGCAGTTCCTTTGGCAATCGCTGCCTTCGCTGCTCCCTTAACAGCGACTGCATGCCCTTTACCTGCAGTGGCAGGGGCACCACCTTTCTTCCCCTGAGCACCTCCGGTCCTGCCCCTCCCACCTGCTGCAGCTGGGACAGCAGGGACTCCCTTGCCCCCTTTCCCTTTCCCCACCACAGGCCCTTTATTCCCTCCCTTGGCAACAACTCCAATACTCGCTCCCTTTCTTCTGTCAGTCGCTGCAACACTTTTCCCTCCCTGAGCACCTCTTCTGCTTGCCACAGTAGCCTTCTTTGCTGCACCACCACCAGCAGCACCAGCAGCAGCAGCAGCAGTTACACCACCAGCAGCAGTCCCAGCAGCGTTACCAGCAGCAGCACTCCCCGGGTCAGGGCGAGCGGGCTTCTCAATGACGGCGTTGAGGTAGAGGTGGAAGCCCTTGCGCTCGCCGGACTCTGGCTTGGGGGAGAAGCCCCACTTGAGGCGCCGGTACCGCAGCAGGTCAATCACCGCCACGTACAGCGGCATCTCATCCACTGGCGCGTAGAACATCTCAAACCACACTATGCCACCTGCAGGTGCACCCACCGCCATGCTCACACACAGAAAAGAGCTCATGCAGCTGAAGTCTCAAATTTGGAGTGTTATGATTCTGGACAAAGAGATTAGCAGCTACGCTGTGCAGTAAGGAAGAGAAACACAGTGCACGGATCCCAGACGTAGACAGCTCTGACCTGGTCGCAGCACGCGGTCCCACTCGAAGACGAGCTCTTCAAAGTCAAGGATGGGCAGGTACTTGACACTGTTCACACTGTGAATGATGTCCAACGTGTTGTCGTAGAATGGTAACCGCGCCTGCACCACCCAGTGTGTGGGGGGGAGGAGGGACGGGGGAGAACGGGAGAGAAGGCGGGGGGCACACAGGTGGGACGGAAGGGGGCCAAATAGGGCGGCTGAGAGGGGTGGCGAGCAGAGCAGTGGCGCCAGTGAGTAGAGGAGGAGGAGGTGGGGAGGTGAGGGGCGGGGTGGGGAGATTGGTTTCCAAGCTGACCTTGTGTGGCACAAAGAGGGGGATGAGACCTCTGAGCGCAATGGTCTCCATGTAGGGCAGGCCGCCATAGTTGCCGTTCACTGTCTCGCTGTTCATGGCTGTGGTCAGCACCGTCACGTTGTACCGCGCCATGTGCGCTGCAAAGCTGCCCGTGCCCCCACCCGCATCCAGACCCAGCCTGTGGGCGAGCGGGAGGGGTGAAGGAAGATGGAAACAGGAAAAGATATTGATACATACAGCCAGGATTGAATGAAAAACTGGCCAAATTGACAGTGGCCAAACTGACTTGCAAACCCTAAATGTACCCTCCAAAACTGCTCAGTAACTTGTTGAATTAGCAACTAGGAACTAGCTACTGGAAAACCCCCTCTCACCACCCATGTGCAACTCCTCCCACACTCTGTGCGCCTCACCTGAGCGCCCCTCGTTTGAGCTTGATGACGTCAGCCATGGTTTGTGAGCCGCGGTAGGCGCGCTGCCAGCGGTAGCTCTCGAGCGTGAGGTTGAAGCAGTTGCGACAGTCGCCCAGGGCGCGCGCGTTGAGGCACGCAAAGGACTTGCAGTGGTGGCTGCCCCACCGCACATTCTCGCCCTTGAGTGCGCGCTGGTCAAACAGCGACTGCGGGAATGGCAGCGGCTGAGCACCAGGAGGCATAATGGAGGGGGGGACGGGAAAGTTGGGGGAGAGCAGATAATGCAGAGAAGCATGTGAGGATAGATAGGGCGATAGCTAAGGGGAAAAGGAGTGGGAGAGGGAAGAAAAAGGTAAGAAACGAGACACGGACTGGTGTGTCAGTGCCATGTTCAACGACCCCCGAGAAGCAGGGGCAAGGTTGCAGCAACCAGAGCCGTACAGAGTGTCTTCGTATGGTACTTGAATCTGCCTGCACACCACACCCGGCAGTGCGTGTGCAAGTACCTCGGAGGGGTTGGTGGGGGCGCGAGCGAAGCAGTTGCGGATGGGGAGGTGGAAGCAGTCCTTGGCGTAGAGCAGGTCCTGCACGAAGAACCAGTCGTCGGGACACTGCCGGTGCGCCCGGTACGCGTGGTACTTGGCCAGCTCCGCTGGACTCGCCTGGCAGTAGTAGCCCTGTGGTGGTGGCACGCATGGTTGTGTTGGGGAGGGGGGAGAGGAGGATGAAGAAGGGGAAAGACGAGGGCACATCTTGGGGCACAGGATGCTATGATGTGTAGGCATGCAGGTGCACAAGAAATATCACACAGTATGGGGAGGCACGGGGGTAGTGTGGCTGTGGTGTGGAGAGGCTGAGAAATCTGAATGGTGAAGTGCGGGCGGGCACAGTACCTTCCAGGAGGTGGGGCGTTCTGGCGGCATGTTGGCCTGCTTGACAGCGTTGCCCGCCTTGTCCTTGAGCGTCAGCATGCACTGCTGCTCCAACATGCTCACACTGCGGTTGTGCGCCTGCCCACCACCATCACCACATGGGGACGACATTGGGGGAACAAGGCAAGAGCGAAGGCAAGTTGGCACATGAGACGAGGGCACATACAAAGGGGATTCTAGTGTTATCAAACCTTCTTGCGCCAGCAGTACCGAGGGTGTGTGATGGTACGGTTGGGTGCAGGGTTAGGGGCGAAAAGGGGGCAACGGGAGGAGAAGTAAGGGAAACGTTTGGTGCAGACACTGAACGTAAAGGAGAGGGGACAGAGAGAAAAAGAAACTAGTAAAGACGAACATGCGGTGCAACTAGCCACCCCCCCACGTTCGAGTGCAATGCAGCAGGGAGCACACCTTTTCAGTGAGCAGCTTGGGAGCCCAGTCGCCCTGGTCGTAGAGAAAGTCCTTTACTCTCTGCATCGCCTGCGCCTGCTCCTCCAAACTCGCCTGCACTCATGGGGGGGGCACGAGGACGAGTTAGCATGCTGCGGACTGCTGAGGGGAGGCATGGGAAGGGGCCACAAAGACATGGACAGTGAGGTGAATGGGCCTCTGGTGAAGCTGAGGAAGGGCCACAATCATCAGGTGGTGGGCTGTAGGCATGCATGTCCTGAGGATGGCACACGCTAGCAGCAATCGGATGGCGTGGCGTGGTATGGCATGGAGGCAGCACCTTGACGCTGTCGATCTTGGCCTTGAGGTCATCAATGTCGCTCTGCACCGTCACCAGCTTCGCCTGTAGCACATCCACAGGAGACGCCTTCAGTAACCGCCGCCCTCCCCCTGCCATCCCTGCGCCCTCCCCATCGCCACGCCCACCATCTTCCCCTTCCTCCATCCAGTCCGCTTCTTCCCCTTCCTCCCCTCCAACCACCCGCCCCAACAACCTTCCCTTCAGCTTTATTCCCCCAAGTCCCAACGAGGAATCATCCTCTCCCCTATCTCTCGCCCCCGGTCCCTCCCCTGCACTCCACAAATCCCTTTCCTGCCCATCTGCACCCAGTGCTACCACTGCGCCACTCTCCCCGCTCCCACCCTCCTCCATCTCCCTATTCCTCCTGCGGCCTTCCAGTCTCCTCGCGTCCGTCCCTTGTGCCGTTGTCCGAGGACCCTGCTCACCACCTCTGCCCCTGCTCGCTGCCACGTCACCATCACGGTCTGCTGACTCATCCTGACCAGGTGCCTCCAAGGAAGGACCACTGGGTGATTTTAGGGGTTGCGAGGCGGTGAGGAGGAGGGAGAGGTTGGCGAGGATGTGTGGAGGAAGGCAAGCGGTAAGGGCGTGAGGCAGGGCGAGCAGGCGACGGCGGGCGCCGTACATCTGTGCCCTGCGCTGTGAATATGCTGGTGCATGGGGGGCATGGGGATGGTGGGAATAAGCGGGAAGGGATGGAATGTGCGGGGGACAGGGGAAAGGGAGAAGAGGAAGAAGATGTTAAAAGTGGGGAGTAGGAGGGGAAGGAATACAAGAATTGGAGGAAAGGAAGGAAGGACGGATGGGGTGTGCTAGTGCTCGATCAACGGTGAGAGAGAGTGCGCCGCACGAAAGCGCCTGCATTCATGCTGCCTGTCTACGACAACTCAAGCTATACACAGAACGGCATAGCATGGATACTTCGGTGGCGTGCTATGGTGGCATTGGATCATCGCATAGCATGCAACATTCGGCAAGGAAAGGGCAGGCATGGCTAGGGCTAGTGCAGGTGGCGTACGTCCATAGAGACCCAGCAATCTGGTGACCTCCGCCCTGCACTCGTCGCAATTCTCCTCCACCGCTCCCTCCTCACCCGCCGCCTCCTCCCCTCCTCGCTGCTGTTGCAGCTGTTGCTGCTGCTGAAGCGGCAGCTGCATCTGCATGTCCTGCTGCGGCAGCACCCGTTGCTGTTGCTCCTGCTGCTGTCTCTGCTGCTCGAAGCCCTGTCCATCGGCGCGCATCTGGCCCTGCGCTTGCCGTCCATCCTGCCACCTCGCATCTTGTGCTCCCCGCAATAGCCCTCCCTGCGAGTTCATCCCTCCCTGCTGCTGCGTTGCCATCCGCGCTTTCCAATCTCCACCACTCTGTACCCCTCCGAATCCTCCCTGCATCCCTCCCCCGGCAAATCCTTGGCCTATGCCAATCCCCCCATTGCCCCATCCGCCTCGCTGCTCCTGTAGGCGCATCCGCAAGGCTCCGTCTGTTCCCCGCCCCTCCAGCAGACGGGGGTCTCCTTCCGCTCCGCCGCCTTCCGCGCCCTGCAATGGCCTGCGGACGGGCACGCGGACAGAGAGGAGAATGAAGGAACGTGAGCAGCGGATAGATCTGGGAAAGCGGACGAGAGATCGGATAGAATGCGGGCGTCACGAGTACGAAGGAAGGTAGACCGGAAAACGATATGGCGGTAAGAAGGGGGAGAGGAGAAGTGGGGAGGGGAACGGAGGTGGGAAAGGGTGGGGGGACGCAAGTTACACAGCACGCAAGGCGACAGATCGAACCAGCACGGGGTCCGCGCACAGCCCCGTACCGACACGAGGTCAGCAAGACAATGACTGGGAAAATTGAACAGGTGGCCTTGTGAATCGCTCGACTACATTCGATGCACGTGTGCGGAATAAGATCCCACGCCGAATTTCCACCGCAATGTCCAGCCATGGGACACCCTCGTGATAGCAGGCTGGCCGCGTCGATCCGCAAATTGAATCATATATCCGGGCCCGACGCTCCCTCGTGCGGGGATGCAGAACAGCCGCATCTGGGACTTACTTTTCGGCGAGCTTGTCGAGCGTACTAAAGTCGAGGAACAGGCTGCGACTGCTAAACTGCTCCGCGGCCAGCAGCGCGACGAGTCCCAGCATCCCCGCCGCCACGCATCGCCAGCACGTGAACCGGCGCCGGCCTTTGCCGCTCGAGCTCTTGGCCTTGGAGAGCACACTCGGCGATCCCGGCACAGAGGATCGCCGCAACGGGGACGAGCTGCGCAGGCTGCTGACTGACGTGGACAGCGGCGAGCCGAGTCGCAGCATCTCTGCTGCGGTGGCCTGATACTCTTGAACGGCTAGCTCGTGGGCATGGGAATGTTGCCTGGTCGACAAGGCATCTGCCGATTTAAAAGTATCAAACGCCGAGTGTATAGCTAATTATTGGTGAGGCCTCCAAAAAAAAGGCCACGTGGGAGTGGCCAACAAAGTAGCACAACGACGCAGCGCCAACGGTCAAAGGGAGCAGACCGGCAGATAGCAGGAAGAGCAGGCCCAGCAAACCCTGAGATAGGTATTACCGAGGCTAGCTACCAACGAACGGTCGCATGTTTTGGTCCAGGTGGTTTTGACGATACCACTCACTAGGCTCGGTTTGGCTGTGCGAGTGTCGCAAGACATCCTTTGGCATGAACTGCAATGGGTTTGTAACCAGCGGTCACCTGATTTTATGTATTCCCTGATTTGTATTGTGGAAATCAGGTACAGGGTTAAAACCGGAGTCTCAAGTTCCCCTAGATTGCCTCATCCTTCCTACCTTTGGTTGGGTTGGGTCACTAGGTCCAACCAACCTTCCTACCTTTGATACCTGTGGACCTCGGGTTTAAACCGTTAACCCCTCACGTTCCCAGTGCAAGGGCATATGTTTCTTCACAATGCACAAACTATCCAATAAGCTGGATATGCATGTACTGTGCTACAGATTGACTTCAGAGATGTGTATTGACACTTGAAATTTGGAATTGCATGCATAAGCTTGTCAGCAATTGACTGGTAGATATTTTACGGTATGAGGTTGGCCCGAGACACACGGCTCTCAGTCTCGGGGTCCTCTGGTGTTACAATGTTGAAAGATGGATCATTTGAGCTGAGTGAGGGGAGGGAGCCAGAGGAACATGGAATTGGACGGCATGAATTGCTTGGTCTGATCCCAGAAGCTGAACAGTGCTAACTGTGGTCAGGAAAGTTTGTCATTTTGATCACAACAACAGTACCCATTATTGGGGTATCCTGTTCGTTTCCCCTGTACAACTTCTTGTTTGCTCCTCAACTCCTCCCTCCACTGCCTGACCCCTTTCCTTGCTGTGAATAGATATCTCCCTGTTACCCTGCACAAATAAGCTTCCTCCTCTGGCGGCCTGCGCACCATGCCACTGCTTGGATCAACTCAGGGAGGTTGCTAAAAGCAGAAAGATTATATCGCAGCGTCTGTGGCTGCTTGCAAGGAACCGATAGGTCCTGACTGCAACTTCCACTTGGTGGGACAGGACCCAACTTGAAGCAGTGGCCTGCAATTAGGTCATTTACAGCACAAATGTCAACTTCCCTTCATGACACCACCAACCAAGGAGGCTCAACAGCTGCCCGGGCAATCTCAGAATGCGACGGCTGGAAATTGCCACATCTGTTACAGCTGAAACTCTTCCCCTTCCGTCTCTTGTTTATCAACCCCACAGCAGCAGCATATCTGTGGCTCACCATTCTGCATTCAGCGACCTTAGAGCGTGACGCCCATGTGCCACCCATCATGCACCGAAGGGAGAGCGAGCAGTTGGAGAGAGGGGAAAGAGGCAGCGAGAAGAGGGGAGTTGCCCAGTGGGGATGTGGAGGAGAGAGCGGTGCCTGCCTGTGTGCGTTGCGCATGGTAGCGCGCTCGGAGACCCATTGTGGAAGTGGCGGTGGGGTAGATGGATGGAATGGGTGGGCGGCGAGGGAAGGGTGGCATCTGAAATCCAGGGGTTTTTATTTCGAGCATAATCAGCAAACTGCGGGCGGACACAAGCTTTCGCCGGTCGTCAACTGCGCGGTTGTGAATGGGGCAGGCTGTAGATGTTTGGGGGTCGCAAACGACCGGCCGGTGCGAAGGGTGGTGCAGACAGAAGCGCGACTCAGGGCGATGGTAGGCTAATAGCACTGCCGAAGGTTCCGCGAGAGGCACCACAGGGGTGGACAGTTTGGGCCCCGCGCCACATAAGCTGGTGTGTGGGTCTTCGTTATCCATCTAGCGTATGAAGTCCTTCGGATACTCGATCGCGGCACCTATCAGATTTCAGTGCGTCATCACTATTCTCCATTTTTTTTTTTTCCTCGCAGAGCCAAACGAGCAACACCCCTTGCGAGACCGCTCGCACGCAAGTTGAAAGAGCAGGGAAGAGGAAATCGCCACGCTAAGTGATTGGTAATGAGAGTTGAAGTGATGCAGGTGCAAGCTTGAAATGGCTTACTTCGTGAAGCAGCTATTGAGCTCTTGACAAAAGATAACCGTTTGCGAAGTGTTCGTGCATTCTGCGCTGAAAACTGCGCGAAATGTCCCCTAACTATAACCAGAACGCGAATTGGCCACTGGTCAGATGCTCTTGCTTTGTATGTGCGAACCTCGCATTCGGTCGCACCGCGGCAGCGCTGATCGTCAACCACTCCTTGATGCGACGAATCTACTTCGATTCCTCGCAAGCGACCGGCCTATGCGACCTTCGATGGGTCGCAAAAGCAGTCATCGTCTGTCACCGTCTTCCCCGTCGTTGTGATTGTGCTGGATATGCCTCGCCACCACCACCATAGGGCTTGCCGCGCTCCCACAAATCTGCATTTTCACTTTCGTCGATCCCCTTCCCACCTCCCATACTCCACCGATCATATGATGGCCTACCTCAATAATTCGACCTAAACAGAGTATGTTCCTCCGAAGTACTACTTGAACTTCGCCTGTTAGCGTCTGCTCGTAAACTTGTTCACCCGACTACGGGTTTCGTTTGATCACCACAAAAAGGAAGTGGTGGCCGTAGCGGCTTATGACGCGATAGGATAGAATAAGACCGCGAAGCGACCTTTGCGGTGATAATAAGGCCCGCGGAACTTGCTCCTGCCGATGAGCACCATTTGCCTATACCGTGTTTCCGCCACCGGCTCGATCCTAACAATCTTCCCGGGTCTTCATACGACCACTTTCCGCCAGATTTTCCAATAATCGTGCTGGTGAACTGCTCGAAATCCTGCCAACCGTCCCGCCTCATGCCTCTCGAGACGACACTCGACGTCGTCCATGCGACGTCAGCGTCGTCGCACGGGGAAGCGCGTGCTTCCGCGCGTCCTGGCCCGAAGGCCCCACGGGGGCGATGGCGGATAGCCGTTGGTCTCTGGCGCGTCGTCGCCGCGGTGCCGCACGCGGTCTTGACGGTGCTTCAGCGGGTGCGGGGGGGAATTTCAAGCGGGAAGGCTCGGCGCGCATTGACGAGGCGTGTGATGCGGCAGATGGTGGTGGTGCACGAGGAGGAGACGGAAGTGGTGCTCGAGGCATTCTGCTCCTTCTTCTTCGTACGCCCGCCCGCCTCCCTCTCCTTCCTCCTCGCGCCTTCCCCGCTGCTGCTGTTCCCGACCCGCCGTTTGTGTTCCCTCCAATTGCTGCTCTCATATCCCCGTCGTATCTCCCTTTCTGCGTAGCGTGCACCTCTTCTACTCTCGGCCCATTGGCGGCGCTGGTTTCCTCTTTTCTAATCGCCGCGTGTGCTACTCCCCTTCAGTCTTTCAAAATTTCAATCCTTCCGTTTCTCTAAGCAGCAATTGCTCCTCTGGGTCCCATCCCATCCCATTGCATCTCATGCCATGCCATGCCAATCCCCCACAACGCGCAGCTGCTAGCGGCGTACTTCGTGTGCCAGCCGCTGCGCGACGAGGCGGCCATGAGTCTGGGCACGGGCGCGCTGCCAGGGCTCTTCCTCGCCTCGCTCGCCTCCACCGTCGCCGCTGCTCCGCTGTCGTCCGCACTGCTCTCCCGCACTGACATCAGCAAGGGGCAGGTGCGCACAACGTGCACTTGAGAGAGCACCGGAGCAGGAGAGCATCCCAACATGTCAACGTGCACGTCTGGCCTTCCTGCTGGCGTCCTTCCTCCCTGCTCACACATGCATGCACATGCAGCGTGCGCATGTCCCGTCCCTTCAGAACCCCCACTCTACCCTACACCAGCTCTGTCCTGCACTTCCCAAACCCAACCCACTCCCCGCCCCCACTCTCCTCCCCACCCCCCGTCCTTGTTGGCAGGCCCTGCTGCTGCTGTACCGATTCTTCTCGCTCTGCCTCCTCGGCTTCTTCTTCCTCTACCTCCTCGTGCCTCCACCTGCCACTCTCCCTGCTCTGCCCACGGTAAATCTCACCCATGCCCATTCCCTCCTTACACGCCCATGGACCAAGGCACACAACCTAGCCAAGCACAAGCATGCACGCTCTCCCACCGCTGCACACGGCACCCTCGTTCCATGCCAGCATATCCACGCACCGCACCCTCCGTCCCTCAACCACCACGCATCTCACCCGCCCCCCTGTGCCCATGCCCACAGCTACCTGAAGAGCTGGTGGGGGAGGGCGGGCATGCAGTGCAGGCGGCAGTGTACCCCGATGCTGCTGGCCAGCTCGCTGTCTTTGCTGACGTGTCGCTGCCCTTCCTCGCTGTCCGAGCCGGCCTCTTCCTCTTCGTGAGCCTCTGCCCCCACTCGTGCTCTCGCTGCTCGCGCTCTTGCTTACTCATGCCACGCCTCTCGCTATCGCCTCGCCCACTTCCTCACCACTGCCATTCGTTTTCTCACTGTGTGTGTGCAAGCTTTCTCCCTATCAACCTGCACCTCCATGCATCACCCCCATGCATCACCCCCACGCATCACCCCCATGCATCACCCCCATGCATCACCCCCATGCATCACCCCCATGCATCACCCCCATGCATCACCCCCATGCATCACCCCCATGCATCACCCCCATGCACCACCCCCATGCACCACCCCCATGCACCACCCCCATGCACCACCCCCATGCACCACCCCCATGCACCACCCCCATCAACGAAAGGCAGACTGCGTCCTCGTCTCTCCTCTTTCCTCCCTCATCGCGTCCCCCCTCCCATGCACCTGCCGCCCTCGGCCACAGGTGGCGCTGCTGAATCTGTTCGCCATCGCTGCCATGTGGGCTCGCCTTGCCGATGTCATGACCAGTGAGGTGCGCGCTGCTCACGCCCTTGCGCGCCCTTGCACGCCCTTGCACGCCCTTGCGCGCCCTTGCACGCCCTTGCACGCCCTTGCACACCCTTGCACGCCCTTGCACGTCTTCACATGCCTTCACACTCGTGGTTCACATGCCATCATCTCGCACCAGCTGCGCCTATCCCACATGTGCCGTGTGCCCCGACGCCCCTCCCCCTTATTCCATCTGGCCACCGTGCCCAGTCAATTCCATCATCACCCCCGCCTTACCACCTTTTCACCCCTTCTTTCCTCCTGCCCCAACCACTGCTCGCCGTGTGTGCAGGCGGGGGCGCGTCTGTTCGGGTTCATTGGCGCGGGTGCCACGTTCAGCCAGCTCGCAGGCTCGCTGCTCGCCTCCTCGCTCGCTGCTCTGGGACCCTGTGAGTCAGGGACGGTGGTGGGGTAAAAAGTGAGTGAGGTGGGTGGTGGGGTCGTGGATGCATGGGAGGGCGTGGCAGAGAGGAATGCTTGTTACAGGCACGATGGGAGCAGCACTGCATCTCATGCATTTCCTGCACCAACCGCATCAACTCACACAACACACAAGACACAGCATCACCATTTGCTTTCTCTCCCCACCCTGCCCACCATGCTGTGCAGACCTGCTCATCCTATCAGCCGTGCTCATGGAGGTGGCAGCGCGCTGCTCCACACTCATCGACGACGGTTCCACGCTGCCCCATGCCATGCACTCACACCCAACCGACTCTCCCGTGTGCACGCATGGTGGGGACGTGCCAGGGGAGGGGCATGGGCATGGATGGTGCTCCCATGCGCGCCCACGCAAGGGCAAGGGCGTGCCGCTGCTGAACCACACTGCTGTCCCCGTTGTCTCTTCTTCACCCCTCCGCCCGTCTGCCACGGCCCCCCTGTTCCTATCCTCCTCCTCTTCCTCCTTGGGGGCCCACTCTGCTTCTGTCTGCTCCTACTGCTCGCACCAACCGCTCTATCCCCCCACAGCCATCGCTGCTGCGCCCTCCCCCTCTCCTCCCCTCCTTACTCCCGCAGCAGACACACCTTCCCAACCGCTCCTCACCCCTCCAGTCCCTACAGACACCGCTTTCTTCCCCTCCCCCTTTCTCCCCCTCCCCCCTCCGGCCCAGCCCTCTCCCGTTCCCCCTTCCGCGCCCTGTCTGCTGCATGCGCGCGTGGGAGGGGAGGAAGGGGCAGAGAAGGGCGGAGGGGGCGGTCTTGGGGCTTGTAGGTTGCATGAGAGGGGGATAAGGGGTGGAGGAGAGGAGGGGAAGAAAGAGGCGGAAGCAGGATGCATTCGCCTTGGCTGTGCTGCTCGGGATCAAGAGGCGACGTTTGAGACCACGCCAATAATCCCTCATGCAGCTGCAGAGGGGAAGGTTGTGGAGTTGGGAGGGCTGTGGGTACGAGGAGGAGGCGAGGAAGAGGGAGAGGAAGGAGAAGCGGCGGGTAGAGGACACATAGGCCACCATGAAGAGCAGTTGACAGCTGGTGATGGATGGAGAGGGAGAGAAGGAGATGGAGGGGGAGGGGGTGGGGAGAGAGAGGAGAGGGGAGGCTGGGAGGGCGCATGTGCAGGGGAGAGAAGGGTGGGTGCAGTGCTGCGGTCTGCTATCTCCTGGCCCCAGAGCCTGGCAGAAGCTGCTGCTTCGGCAGAGCGAGTGGAGGAGGGAGCGTGTGCGAGGAATGGCGGAAAGGTGCTGAGGCGAGGAGGAAGAGGAGTGAGGAATACAGTGGGCAGAGAGTTCGATGGTGGGAGAACCGCGGATAGCAGTTCAACTGTAGCTGGGTTGATTCAAGACAGAGTTAGAGCAGCAATGACAGTTGGGATTGGATATGAGAGAGGTGCAGTGACAGGGGGAGCAGCAGGGGTGGTGAGAGCAGAGAGGGGAGAACTGGTTTGGAGGAAGCGTGGTGAGCGGTCGGGTGGGTTGGGTACAGGGGAGGAGGATGGGGTGGGTGAAAGGCTCGGTCGAGGGGAGAGTGGCAGTGGTCTGTCCAATGTTGCTGTTTTTCGGAGCACAAGTGGTGGTGCGGCTGTGCCCAGTGCAGTGGATGCAGGGGTGTGTATCGGGCTTGCAGTGCAACAGAAGCACCTGAAAGGCCTCCTGAAAGGGCACCTGGGAGGAGACACGGGGGTGCAGGCAGGTGGGCAAGCAGCACGTGAAGGGTACGGACTACTCATGCACTCTATGTCCATGCAGCAAGAGCATGTGGACCGTGGTCCAGGCAGTGGCGAACGCTCCTCTCTGGCAGAGGGAGCAGTGGGGGCAGCAGCAACAGCAGCAGCAGCAGCAGCAGCAGCAGCAGCAGCAGCAGCAGCAGCAGCAGCAACAGCAGAGGCAGAGGCAGCCTTGGATATGGGCAATTCACCTAGCAAGCTGAAACCGAGACCGCTGTGGCAGTGGCAGTGGCAATGGCTGCGCTTGCAGGCTCCGTGGCAAGGGACAGGGAAGCAGGAAAGAGCAGCGCAGGGCGGGCGGGGGGCGCATGGAGGAGCAGCAGAGAGGGACGTGAGGGTGGCAGGCAATGAGGGCAGTGGAGGAGGGGAGGAGAGTCGGCCGTTGCGGGCGTGCCACTCACTGCCGTGCAGAACAGCAGGTGGGGCAGACGTGCAGAGAGGCGCAGGGGCGTGTGTAAAGGGAGGGGGGGGAAGGGGAATGGGGGATGCATCTGTGTGCCACAGGTGCATGGGAGCTGCGAGGGGGCAGATGGGGGAGGCGAGAGGCGACGGGGAAGCAATGTTGCAGGGGGAAGGGAGAGGAGAAGCGTGTGAGGTGATGGCACAAGGGTGGGCGGCGCGGGCAGATGGGCCAGGCAGCGATGGCATATCCAGGGATGGCTTGTCTGGCTTGCTGTCTTCACACTGCCATTCCCATGAGCCCACAGGAGCAGCAGTACCAGCAGCAGCAGCAGCAGCAGCAGCAGCACCAGCACAGCCGGTTGATTGGTGTGGGGCGGATAGCGGTGGGCAGAGCAGTGCAGGGAATGGTGGCGATATGGCTGAGCGGTGGTACCGTGTGGGAGGAGAGCGGGGGCCAGGGGCAGCAATGCCTGCAAGCCATGGTGGCCCTGGGGGCAGGGGCAGCAGCACGGGCAGGGCGAGCAGCAGGGGTGTGCGGCAGAGTGGGGGGTTGAGCGAGGTGGTGACAGGAGTGCGGCTGGTGCTGTCGTCGTCATACCTGCTGCATGTGTGCGCCTTCCTCATGCTCACTGCTATCGTCTCCTCCTTCTACTTCGAGGTATGCTCTCGCCTCACTGCTGTGTGCCACGCACCCAGTCACCAATGCTGCCCAGTCACCAGGCTGCCATGTTCCTTGCATTGCGTTACACCCTTGTGTCATCATATCCGTTTGCCACTTGCGCCCATGGCATGGCGCAGAGGTCGTCAGTGGTGGCAACATCGGTGGTCGATCCAGTGCAGCGGCGCAAGGCCATAGCCAACATCAACTCGCTCTCTGCTGTCGCCACTGTCGTCTTCCAGCTCACTCTCACGATATCCCCACATACATGCCCCTCCCATCCTTCTCCTGCATCCTGCTTCTCCATCCATGCCTTGCCCTCTCGTCTTGTCACACTGACCCTGGCTATTACTAGTTCCACATCGAGTCACCATATGTAACTCCCCTAAGTAACCCCATGCCTCTTATCTGAATGTCCAGACATGTCGTACAATCTATATAATATTTGTCTCTACTCCCCTTGGCGTGATTAACCCCTTCAGGGTCGTCTGCTAACAACGTTTGGGGTGGCAGCAGCGCTGGCAGCATCGCCAGTGGCAGCACTGATAGGCATGGCTGCCATTGCATGGCACCCCACACCCCTCGTGGTTGCTGGCTCTGAAGCACTGCGCAAGGTAATGTGCCCGCATTGCCGTGCACTTGGAAGTCACAGTTATTCCCCTTCTCTCCTCCATTTCTCCAACCCCCACACTCTCTCCTCTCTTTCTCCCCATCTTTCACTGTACTATCCTAATGTTCCTCATCGGTCTCACTCTCTAGACTGTACCTTTCCCACCACCTCTGTGTCTGGGCCCTGGTTGCCCGTGCAGGTGGTGACATACGTGTTGACCCGGCCCAGTCGGGAGATTCTGTTCACTGTGGTGACACGCGAGGAGAAGTACAAGGCCAAGGTGCGCTCACACACGCACGCATGCACGCACTCACAGCATGTTCACCCCACCACACACCCACCCATGCGCACAAACATCCGCATGCACACACGCATGCTCACCACCCTGCACACACTGCTGATCTCAAGCACATGCTGGACTAATGCATCCACCCAACCATGCCCTCTTGTCCATCCGCTCTTTCCCCTCGGCCTTTCTCACCGCACATATATCATTTCCCCCCACCGCCGTGCCCCATCGTCCCATGGTCCAATCACCGCAGGTCACAATAGACACGGTGGTGCAGCGCCTGGGCGATGCAGCAGCAGCGGGCTTCTTCCGCCTGCTGGGCGGGGTGTTCCTCCTGGGGCCCTCTGGTGTTGCCACCTACACTGTGCCGGTAACCGCCCCTCGCCACCTCACTCTCCCATCCTCCCTCCTGCTCCCCCTCTTCCTCTCGCCCATCCCCTCTTGACTTGAACCACTCACACATCCCGTTCTCTCGCATTCTCTCTGCCATTCTCCCTCGTCTCTTCCCTTCACCCCACACCCTCACCCTGCCTTCACGTCCTCCACAATCCCTCCCTGCATGTCTCTCTCCCTCTCTGCATGGTGTACAGCTGTGTGTGCTATGGTGTGGGCTTGCGGTCACCTTAGGCCTGCGGCAGCAAGCCATGGCACGCATGCAGCAGGGAGGGGGCCCAGCAGCTCCCAAGCATGCACAAGGCCTCTGATTTGGAAGTTCAGGCAGGATGAGTTGGGATGAGATAAGAAAGCATGATACCAGTAGCAGAGCCAGAGTGTACATGGGTGTTGTCGTCCTGGCTCCCCAGGCCTTGTTGAAATGTATATTCAAGCGTGTGTTTGGTATGGTATATGGCGCCCTTTCTTGCTCCCTAAAGCGCATTGTCAAGTGCAGTAACAGTATCCTGTTGAATGCAGCAACACACGCATGCATTTTGAAATGCCCCCACCCCACACCAACGAGGCTCGAATACCCTATCAATGAATCAAGTGAACAGGCAAATTGATGTTTTTTCAGGAATGTACAACTCTGTTTTGTTCACTACACTACTTCACTACACAATAATTTCACGAACTACTGAAGGCCAACTAATGTGTGTCAACACAACAACCCCCTAAACACCACTTCACCAACGCACCACCTGAACTGAAACACACCCTCCCTGTCATCCCTGCACCCACACACGCCCTGCATGCTCACCCACCCACAACATGGCATCCCCTCTCGCAGGAACCACATCACAGCTCCTCCTCCTACTTCTAGTACCGGTCTCCAAAGTAGCAGGCGACGTCGGTCCTCCCCGACAGCCCATCCCTGGCCATCTCCACGCGCATAGGCCCAGACTTTTGAGTTGACTCAAAACTCCTTACCCTCCTACTTCTAATACCGGTCTCCAAAGTAGCAGGCGACGTCTTTCCTACCCGACAGCCCATCCCTGGCCATCTCCACGCGCATGAGCCCAAACTGCGCCCCCACACCGCACGACCAACCCCCGCCGGGTTTGACAAAGAGCGCCGAGGGGTTGCCGGGGACAGAGGCTGAGGAGGCGAGGTCGGAAGCCCAGTCAAGGAAGGAGTAGAGGTGCAGCGCTCGCAGGGGCACACGTAGCTCCGTGCTCAGCTGGAGAGGGAAGGGGCAGGGGGGGCATGGGAGAGGGCAGGAGCAGAGCGACGAGGGTTTAGGGTGGAGTGGGAGGGGAGTGGGGGGTGGAGCGGGAGGGAGGCACTGTTGGCACAGGGCAGGAGATGCAAGGGCGGAGGGAGAGTGCATGGAGGTGCACAGGTCTCCTCGCTTGCATTGACAATGGGGTTAAAAATACTGCAGTGGGAAGGGCACGGCGGCGGGGAAGGGCAGAGGAAAGAGCTGAGGAAGCGAGGCACAGTGAGATGGCAGCATGCAACGGCCATTGTGCAAGTCAGCCATGGCACCTGACTTCATGCCACAGCCCGCACGCACCTCAAGAAATCGCCTGCACGTGGCAAGCTCGCCATGCTCAAAGCCCCGCACAGAGTGCGCTCCCCCCAGCTGAAACGCGTCCACAGCAGCCAGGTCGCCCACACATGCGCCATGCCGCCCATGCAGCACCAGCGTGCACGGCGCCGAGCGCGCTGGAGGGGGCGGGCGCCGCCGCAGACGCAGTTCCCGCGCGGGCGAGGGGAAGAGAGCGTAGTAGACGGTTTCGAGGGGGAGGAAGCGTGTGCAGGAGATGGTGTAGCGGTTGAAGAAGGGGAGGGAGGTGAAGGGCAGTAGTGCCTGCTCCACGTGGAAGATATCCCGCTCGCCCACTGCCGTGCCGTGCACGCGCCGGGTGGCGTCTCTCGTCACGACATGCTGTAGAGTGAGTTGGTGGTCGACGCCGAGTCCACTCACACTCGTCTCCACACTGCCTAGCCCACCTCTCCGCACGCCCCCGCTGCTGTTATTGCTCCCAGTCCCCTGGTTATTCACACCACCGTCAGAAGTTGCACTAGGGAGAGATGAGGCAGTAGAGGAGGCGGCAAGTGGAGCCATTCCCCCAGCAGCAGCAGCAGTGGTAGCGGGCGGGGCAGCGAGGGAGTGGCGGAAGGGTGAGACGCGCGGCACAATGGTGGCATTCTCATCGCGCACACACACCTCCTGGAACACCAACGCCGTGCTGCTGCTGCTCTGCCTCGTCACCTCCTGTTATGCACCAGAAAGAGGCAACGGGGGAAGGCAGGCGTGTGCGGTTGGGGGCGGTGAGGGAAAAGTGCTTAAAAAAAGGAGGAGCCACGAAAAGGGAAAACAAAACAAAAACAAAACAAAACAAAACAAAAAACAAAAGCAAAAACAAAACCGTCATGCCTCATGACTCCAGATATCACAGCAGCCATGCGTAAAGCGATATTCTCCCTCCTACCCCCCAAACCTCCTCCCCTTGTTCACGGTCTCCCAGGCATACCTCAGTGAGAGAGACCTTTCCCCCTGTTCGGTCCACCCAGAGCGGCCCCACGTCGAGGGCCAGGGCGAGCGGTGCCGTGGGGCCCTGGAAGGCCAGCGCGGATGACAGGCGCCGCGAGTTGAACAGCGCTGCCCGTAAGGTGCGCAGGTTGCGAGGAGGGGGGGTGTGTGTGGTGGGGGCGGTGGTGGCACGGGGGGGGGAGGTGGAGGATGGGGAGGAGAGGGCGTGGTGTGGCGGTGGGGGGACGCCGTCGAGGAAGGGATGGATGTACTCTAGCTTGAGTGAGAGGTCGTCCTGGCGAGAGAAGGAGAGGAGGGAGGGGTGGGAAAAGGGATGGAAGATTCAGGTTTCAGGAAGAAAGAGGGGAGAGTTTTAGGGTTCAGGGGGGGGAGAAAAGGAGAAGGGGGGAAGTGGGGGTGAAATGAGAGGGTAGGTTGGAGGAGCAGACAAGGAGGGCAGGGAATGGCATGGCGGAGATGGTGGCGAGACAAAGCAAGCATGGCAGGCTGTGCAGGCAGCCCCGTGGCTGAACTGACACGCCCTTCAAGGCAGCTGCCAAATGCTTTCAGCGAGGACATACATAAGAGTCACTGGCGATCCCAGGTGAGTAGAACCTAGAGAGAGGGGCGAGGCGAGGCGAGAGTGGGTGAGAGAGCTTAGTGCACCTGGGGGTACATGATGTTGTGAGTGGAGACGTCGAGGTACAGCGACCGGTTCATGCCCCCCAACCCGTGCTGCTCCACGTGCACTCGACAGCCAGGGAAGATGGAGTCCTGTGCGCAGTGCGGTCACACAGTGTATGGCATCAGCCAGGAGATGCTTGAGTTATGAGGCATATGGCATGCTGCATGTGGCATGTGGCATGTGGCATGTGGTATGTGGTATGTGGCATGTGGCATGTTGCATGTTGCATGTTGCATGTGGCATGTGGCATGTGGCATGCTATGTAGCGCGTGCGCAGCAAGAACACGGAAAGGCAGGGCCAAGTGCCGAAGAGTATCGGTTGTGCTATGCATGGCACGACACGGCACAACCCACACATCCCACCCAGGCGCATCAATGCGAGGGCAGCAGCAGGCAGTACCAGGCGTGGGAACCACCCGTTGGGCGGCACGGCGAAGTGCCAGTCGGCGTCAGCAGTGGCGGCAGCCATGAGTCGCTCGCGCACCTCCACGTCCACCACCACGCCCCCGTGCTGTCCCCTCGTCTCGTCCGGGCGCAGATGCACCTGCACTGACTCAAACAGCGACAGCCGGTACAGCGCCCGCACCACCTCCCGCCCCAGCCGTGCGTTGTACACCACCCCTGGCCGCAGCTGAAGGGGGGCGGTGAAGGGGAGAGAGAAGGGAGGAAAGACTTGTTGTTCATGGTCTAGTTGTTGGGTGGAATGGGCTTTCTTTGTGAGGCGTTCAGCAGGGATCTGATCTGATCTAATCTCATCTGATTTGATGCACACATTCGGAAGGGGCGAGGCGGAGCAATGGGTGGGTGCGTGTTGGAGTCCACAGCATGGCACACGCAACTTGCAAGCACGCACTTACCTACCTCCGTGGGCAGCACGTGGTGCAGCAGTGCCAGTGACGTGCGGCCCTTGACAGTGTTGCCTGCCGTGTCCACGAACCGCACCTGCACGCGCGTCACATCCCCCTCCACCACATGGCACACCACCTCGCCCCCGCCCCCCTTCCCCCCTTCCACCCCCGCTCCCCCTTTCCCAGGCGGCACGAAGCTTCTCACTCGGGCCAGCACATAGCCTTTCTTCGCGTACCACTCCTCTATCCTCGCTGCTAGCTGCTGCAGTAGCGGCTGGGAGAGCGAGGGGCCCTGGCGGGACAGCCATCTCGACAGCTCCCGCTCCTCGCTCTCAGGCAACAGGCACTTCTTTGCTGCTGCTGCTGCTGCTGGCCGTCCTCCTGCCTCTCCCCCGCCCACCCCCTCCTGTGCGGACACGCCCACGTTGACGCATTTGGCAATAGTAGCCGGGGGGTAGTGCATGTCTTTAACAGTGAGCTGCAGGTAAGTCCACCCGGAGCGCTGCGGGCGACAGGAGACTTCAGCATGGGAGAACCATCCTAGGCTCAGCAGGTGCTGCACCGCATCCTCCACGTCCCTTCGCACGAACACGTCGCCTGGCTGGACAGCAAACGCGTCGTACACGTCTGCAGAGGGCGGCAGCAGGTGGCCGGATTCGTCCTGTACGGTGAGCTCGAGGCAGCGGTAGGTGCGGGAGGTGCTGAGGCGCGCGAGCGGGATGAGAGAGGCGGAGGCGGACAGGGAGGGGGAGAGCAGCGCGAGGAGGGGGACTAGGAGCACCGGGAGGAGGAGCGAGGGGCGATGGTGGTGGCGCGAGAACGGGGAGGAGGGGAGAGTGTGCAATCGGAGTAATTGTGTTGCATGTGCAATGAGGGTGAATATGCAGGTGGGAAAGCGTTTAATGAGTGCGTCTGAGAAGGTGTGTAGGATCGATAGTCCACATGACAGCATTGCAGATGCGTCCTCGAGTATAGCAGTCAGCGCCATAAGTATACGCCGCAACAGATTATTCCCTTCCTCCCCTTCTTTTCCCTCATCAGACCCCTCTCCTCCTCCCCCACTTCCTCCTCCGCTCCCCCCTCCATTCCCCTCTCCGCTTCCCCCGACCCCTCCATTTCCTCCCGCTGCCTCTCTCACCACGCTCCGCAAATTCCGCCCTATCTTTCCGCCTTCCGCGCTTCTCTGCGCGTTTCTCGCCAGCCAAGTTCCGCCCAGAGGACTAAGAGAGGAGGACGAGGCATGCACGTGAGTGCGACTGCGCAACGCAACTGAAGAGCGTGTCAGGGAGACCACGCTCGGAAGATGGCGGTATACGCGCCCCGGCGATAAAGGATGCCGCCATGCGCTTGCTGGCGCGCCATGGATGCCTTCGAGCGCGACGGCCATGACCGCGGTACAGATTATAACCAGCGGCGATCAACAGGTCATGATCAGAGGTGCCCGATGACCGAATTGCTTAGTTCAACCCAATCTTTCTGAGATTGCGGTTGATTTATCGCCGAAACAGGCGCATTGCTGGTGGGATGCGATGCGACCCGAGCAAAGCGAGTTCTGTAGTAGCTTGAAGCTGGACTCAGGGCTTGTCGTGGGAAGTGAATGGCTGAGTTCAGCTTGATTCAATTTCTCTGGTCGTCACTACAACGAGTTTGGCTCATCCACACGAAAGAGGATGAGTTCAGCTTGATACTCAAAAGCTTGTGCGCCTACACCAGACTATAAAGAAACAATATTAGATGGTTAGAAGATATTCGGGACTAGCCAATATGGACCAGGCACTCCAAGATGTACGCTTATTTAGAACAAATTTGAATTGCTTTGACCTCTATTCATTTATGTATTGACGAAGAGATCCGGAGTATTGGTAACAGTATAAATAGATGCCAATGGCTAGTCTCCATGCAATCATATATGTTGAATCTTCAATAATAGGTACACGTTTATGTATTCGAATGATTCGGTTAAAAATGGAGGAAATTCAGGGTGAAGTGAAGTGTACGGTATGTTTTCCAACCGAATTTATAACATTTGTTACACGAGCCTTTTAACCCGTATGGAATTCAGTTTCTGTACACCAGCGATACAACGTAACAGAGTGGCCCAACGAGCATGTCGGTGGAGGGAAATATCGGTTATTGTTTCCACGTGTGAACCCATTTCGAGGGCCATTGCGGACGTGGATCCGAGATTTCCTAGATCCTAGGAGTCGGAGGAAAACTATTTGTTCCAGCTCAGACCGCGTCCTCACCTCACCCTCACCCGAATCCTCCACACTCCGTACTCAGCAGCATCCAACCTATGCTTCGTTTGCATCCCTCCCCACAACGCGCCGATGCTCATGTGCGAGCGGGTCAAAACCGAGGTGCACTTCTGCCCTCCTTTGCCAGGGCATCTTTCTTCCCCCGGTGTAAGCACAGCAAGAACAATTTCTTTGGGCAAGCACTGCCACAATGGGGAATGTGCGGACCACGTGGCAGTCTGATTCCTCCTCGAACTTGGTCCGCGCCGCTGCCCTCCGTTCGCCCAGCCAGCCAGGCAGCAGAGGTGGCGTGTGACCCAGAGGAGGCGAACATGGATGATGATGATGTGAGACGGCGAATGGAGGAGTAGGTGGGTACTCTGTCCGCATGATAGAAGTGGACCTCGCTCATGATCAAGCACAACGTCCATGAATGATTCCTGCTGCGGTCCCTGCATATAAATTCGTCATCCATCGGCGATTTCACAACCTCGGCTTGTTGCCTTTCCTAGTCTGTTGGATCCTAATCTTGCTTCCTAGCTTTTCCACGCACGCTGCTCCCAGTAGTCATCTTCTAGAAGATTTGAACGTTTCCGGAAAGCAGACCTGCGCCATGGGTTCCGAGCCAGGTGTCCGAAAGTTTGAGAAGGAATCGATGCTGGAGATTTTGCGTCATATTCCTGCTCCTGTGGTCATCATCACTGCAGCTTATGGCGATGCTAACGACGACAGCTTGCAAGTTAGAGGAATGACATGCAGCAGCTTCACAAGGTGCGGATTCATCATCAATGACCTTGCTTGCCGCTCGTCGCTTCATATGATCCTGGGTGTTTCTATAAGGACTAAATTGCAATTGCGCTAGTTACTGCTGCTAGCGGCTGAATCCCTCAGCACTACGAAGATAGCACCAACATCAGTTCACCATACTTGGGATGTCTCCAGAGAATACTCGATTTGAATGTCGTAACTTAATCTCTTGGATTGCCGTCATATTCTGTTACAATTTAGCACGTCAATACCTTTTTGGAATCTCTTTTGATCTTTTTTGCTGCGTTGATTCACTGCCGACGAATCTGCGTCTTTTTCAGTACACTAGCTCCTCCTTTTGGCATGGATCTTCGGCTTTCACTTCACTTACTCCGTTTCCTCTTCCATTCCCTTTCCTCTTCCTTAGTCACAAAGACGAAACAATTTGTATTTGCACAGCTCTCATTCGCCCCCATTTCCTTGTTGATTTCTCTTCTTCCAGCGTGTCTTTGGAGCCGCCTTTTATCTCGGTGTGTTTGCGCAAGAACTCCCTCATGATGCAGGTCTGTCCCTTGAAACCTCAGGCACTTTTCGTTTGAGATAGTGGGCCAAGCCTTACAGTGGACCCGCTCTGTCTTCAGGTGCTGGAGAGGTCGACTGGATTCGGCGTGCATCTGTTGAATGAGGAGAACAAGCAGAAGGCCGGTGACTTTGCGAAGCCTGTGAGCAGTACCATTTCTGTGCACGCGTCTGAGGCTCTTTTCTCATGTTCAATCCCGATGCTTATCAAGATCTTGAGATTTTGACTTGTGATTGTTGAGGGCCACTCATTGAAGACTCGATTTCGCCACTAATCGTTTGCCTTTGTGCTTTCTTCTTTCTGTCGCTGTGGATGTTGTGGGGATTTTCTTTTCTTGGTATGTGAGGGTTGATTGCAGCATGACACAGGGAAAGTACCTTTCAATGAGTAAGTATCTTCTTTCCCTCGGGCTTTGAGTTGTCCTTAGTGCACTTGCACCCACTACTGGACCCCAATGCTACTGTTGAAAAGGCCTTGCTCTAGCCTTTACTCCATCAGATTTGGCCCTGTCACTGGCCCATCAGATTCCAGCACAAGAGTTTTTTTTACGCAACCTCCAGAAAATCTTGTGTGGATTTTCAATTCAGCCCATTTCCTCTCTTTTCATCTTTTCCACTTCTTGTTCAATAGGGCTGCAGGTGAATGGGAACTGGCGCCACTCCGGGACTACATGAGTGAATTACCTCCGAACCACCCTGAGGGGCAGCAGGATCCTGACGCAGTGAAGGGCGTGCCAGTGCTGAAGGAGAGCATGGCAGCACTTGTTTGCTACCGCAAAATGAGCTTTGATGCAGGCGACCACATCATCCTTGTTGGAGAGGTGAGCTTATTCTGCCATTTCATCTGAGTGTATTCAGATTGATTCACGTGAGAGCATGGCCATGCCAAGAGCATACAATGTCTGTCTAACAAAATTGAGCACTTATTTAAGTGTTTTACTAATTTCTTTGCCTGAATTTGCAGGTGGTGGCCACTAGCGCACATGATTTCCATCCCCTCATTTACATGAACCGTCAGTACCACCAACTTGGTCATGCGGTGTAATATGCTACACTCGTTCTTACTACTAGCCTACGGGGCTCACCTGGCTGTTGCAACCGCCTCGACACCACACTGGATACCTATGTCTTATGTAGTAGTGTGTTGATTCTTGTGTTTCTTGGTGTTTGCCTAGTGGTAGTACATCCGCCTTGCCTCAGCTGTCATGGAAATGTAGAGATGGTATAAATACTTGGAGTAGCATGGCCGTTTTTTTTATTGCAACATTTTACAGTGTACACATCAAGCGGTATAATTGTGATGGGATTTACCTTATCTAAGCTTGTGAGTGTATCGTAAATAATTTCACTATGTCATTAGCTCGAACAGTTTTGTGGATGCATTCACATCACACCGACACCACCCAGCCATGACCACCTCCACAACTCGTCACGTGCTTTCTTGCTGTTGCCACGCATTCATATCCCCCATGCATCCGTGGCGCGTTGACCATTCTGGAATGCGCCATGCGTCTCTGCCTTCGTGCTCTATTTCGGCCGGGAATGGATGAGCTCCTCGGCGAAGTGAAATGACGAAAGTTGCACCTAGTAGTTGCGCACAGCTTTAGTATCGCCGCGTCGCTAGCACAAGTGAATCCGATGGCAGAAGTGCAGGAGCAACAACCACTAGAGTTGCAGCAGCAGGAGCAGCAGCGGGAGGAGGAGGAGGCGGGGAAGGAGCGGGAGGTGGGCGTGGAAGTTGACATGACAGCGCCCGTGACGGCGTGGGACATCGAGCGCGCGGGAGGGCTGGGCGCGCGGGACGACATCGCGTCGCCGCTGCCCGTGGCCATGGACGCCACGGACCTGGAGGAATCCATCAACGCCGAACTCTATCCCGAACTCGCAGGTGCTGACGTGGCGCGTGGTAGGATCATTCTTGCAACTCTAAACTTACACACAAATCGTGATATTTATGCTTCGCGTTTTTCAGACAAGCTTTTTCCACCATTTTTAGCCTGCCTTCTGTGCATTAGCCACTCCTATTCGCTGACGCCTAATTTACTGTCCCCTACCATGTCTAGTTCCCACCTCTTCACACAGACCCTCACATGGCTCATCACGTCCTGTCGACCTGTGCCCAGAATTTCTCCTTTCCCTTGACCTTCCATTTTTTCCCACACCTGGCGCATGGCAGAGAGCGAGGAGGAGGCTCGCATAGGCGGCACAGAGCCCTCAGCAGCTCATGTGGGTGGCTCGTTTGATGCTGCTGCTGCTGCTGACCCTGAGGAGGCAAGGCGGCAGCTGGAGAGCAGATTTGTGCATGCGGGGCAGGGAGGAGGGGGAGTGTGAGGGAGGCGAGGGGACAGAATGAGTGGAGGAGAGAGGGCTGGTTAGGGTCAGAGAGTGTAGTGCACTATTTGACAGTTGACATCATTGCAGGAGTAGAGTCTGCTGGTGGCATGGGCTACAAGGTTTTCGGATCTTGATTCAGCATCGACATTAGGATGTTAGCAGGGCCCTAGCCAGCTTGTTGTCCTACCTAAGCTCAGTTTCCCCTTATACGAGTGCTATCTTCTGACCAACCCTGGTGGCTTTGATACACGAGCCCCATGATTAGCATGCTTGCTTTGATCCAGAAGTGAAAAGCCCCATGATTTTACGGTAGTTATTGTTCTGGTAAGAAGCCTTGTTATGAATGAATGAGTATCCCATGCATCATCCCTGTGATTAGCGTGCCATGAAGCACAAGCTCTGTGATTTGATTGTGGTTACCCCTCCGGTTTGCCCGGTAGTTAGCCCTGTGATGTGCCCTGTGGTTACCCAGCGATTAGCCCTGTAGGGAGCTTGCCCTAATGCACTGGCCCTGTGGTTAGCATGCTCTGCTGTAGCACCTATATGCACATGCCTTGTGGATACTATGTTCAGATCCTGAAAGCCTGTGATTAGTGTTCTGGTAAGAAGCCCTGTGGACCAGTATCCCATGCATTATTCCTGTGATTAGCGTGCCACGAGGCACAAGCCCTGAAATTAGCATGCCACGCACAAGGAACGAGCTCTCTGATTAGCCCTGTGGTTACCCCTGCGGTTAGCCCTGTGGTTAGCCCTGTGATGAGCCCTGTGGTTAGCCCTGCGATTATCCCTGTGGTTAGCCCTGTGGTTATCCCTGTGGTTAGCCCTGTGGTTAGCACTGTGGTTAGCCCTGTGGTTAGCACTGTGGTTAGCCTAGCCTACGCAGGGGGTTGCTGGTGGAGGTGGGTTGCAGAGGGAGGTGGGTTGCAGGGGGAGGTGGGTCGCAGAGGGAGGAATGGGGAGGGGCAACGCAGCGAGGGGGAGAGGATGTGGGGAAATGCCTACGAAGGGGAAGGGGCTTGGAGGAGAGGAGACGGGACGGGATGGGATGGAATAAGGGGGGGTGGGTGTGGGATTTTGCGGGGTCAAGGAGGAGAGGAAGGGGGGGGGGGGGGGGGGGGGGGGGGGGGGGGGGGAGGGATACCACACCTGAGAGTGTTACTAGTCTAGATAGGTAGCCTATCTACTCTAGCATATTTGTTCTTCATCTTCCGTCTTGCAAGCACATGGTTGTCCTGCAAGCAGACGAGAGGAGGCGGCAAGGCAGATGAGAGTTGAGCTTCTCTATGCGATGAAAATAAATACGACATGAATTTATGAATGTTCTCCGATTGGGGTACACGATTAACATGATTTGGATACCAACACAATGTACAGATACGATATGATATGATATGATATGATACGATATGATATGATCCGATCTGATATGATAGGATATGCTGCGTTCAGTCTGTGTTCAATTGGTTTTTTCTCACCTTCAGAAACAACGATAAGCTCTTCACCAGTTGCCCACTCCAGTCGGTTCCACCACGCTAACACAATTCCTGCCTCACCAGTCCAATCCTGACAAGTCAACAACACACTCAAAACGAAGCAGCGAAAGAGCGATGGGAAAATGAGAGACAAAGAGAAGACGAAAGGATACGAGCATGTCAGCTAGTGATGAAGATTATAATTCCCTTTCTCCCCAAAATTCAGTCCCAGCGGAATTGTGTTGCCGGGCGGAGAGAGAAACGGCCATGGAAGGCAAAGGACTGTGAGACATGGACAGGAAGTGTTGGGATGTAAGGGGTATTGGCACGCCAGGCAAGTGTGGTGCAGAAGAGAAAGGGGTGGGTGCAGAAACTCACCACTAGAAAAGTCCTCAAAAGCACGTGCTATTCTTGTGTACCCTCGTGCTCCAATGTTGCTGCCAAAATGCTGCTCCGGCAACTGCTGCTGATTAGACCTGAAGGAGGAATGCCAGGGAAAAAGAAATGTGAAGAATGAGGAGAGGAAGAGCCGAGAAATCAAGAATGAGAAGAAAGAGGAGAGGAGGAGTCGAGAAATAAGGCATCTGAAGGTAGAGGAGCAAAGGTAAAAGAAATGAGAAACAGAAAGGAGATGCAACCGAGAGGCCGACAAAGAGAAATTGGGGGCAGAGAAGAAGAGTGCTGAACAAGGAGCATTACCATAAGAAAACGACCCGATTGACTTGACCTCGCCTGTAGTCCCTCCCATGCCACCATTGCTGTGCCTGTTTGTCAGATGGTGGTTCAGGAGGGTATGAGAGGAGAGAAGGCGGCGTGAAGAAGCGGAGGGGAAGGAAGCGAGAGTGGATGGTGCATAGAGCTTTGAGGAGATGAAGGACAGGAGGGGACAAGGAACGTACTGCGGGAAAAGGGCTCAGTTGATTCGCCCTTGCTAGTTGTCCCTTGCTGATATTGCTGCTGCTGCCACTCCCGGGCCATGCTGTGTTTGACTGCAGGATGACAGGCAGGGGAGGAGGAGACGGCGTAGGAGACAAGGAAGGTATGGGAGGAGCAGCGATGATGTTCAAGTCAAAGTAGAAAGAGAGAGGGCTGGCTAGGCGAGGGGATCTTAGCATGCAACATGCGAATGCCCGCTTGACCGAAAAGACAGAAAAGGAGTGGCAAGGGAGACTAAACTGACGGGCAGCACGAGGAGCTTACCACATCGTGTCTGCCCATTGTGTTCCCTTCGGCTCCCCATTTGCTGTCTCACCTTGCTGTCCTCGCCTGCTGGAAGAGAGACAGGGAAAGGAAGAGTGGTGACAGGGAAGAAATGAAAATAAGGAGAGAAGGGCGAAGTGCAGTGATACAGAACGGAATGGGGGGAGAGGGGGGGGGAGTGGGGGGAGAAGAGAGTGGGAGGCAAGGAGGCAACTGCAAGTGAGTGGGAGGCAATGAGGCAATTGCAAGTGAGTGGGAGGCAATGAGGCAATTGCAAGTGAGTGGCAGGCAATGAGGCAATTGCAAGTGAGTGGGAGGCAATGAGGCAATTGCAAAGGATGAGATTGACAGAAAGGTGAGAGTGAGGCGGCGCAGTAACACGTATCGATGTGTAGAGTATCAAAGGAGCAGGCCACAGCGAATGCAAAGGAAAAGGATCTGTCGGAGGAGACTCACCACATCACAGATCTTCTCTCTCACATACGTGCTCCTTGATCTCTGCTCCTACTTGTTTGTTCCCTCTGCGTCCTCCTCTGCTCCCCAACACAGGAGATGAACAAGGAAAGCAAGAAGGAAGGAGGGCGATCGAATAAATGTGAAAGTCAGGCTACGGCGAGGAGAAGAGGAGCGGTACAAGAGAAGAACTTCAGGACAGGAGACTAGGGAAACCGAGAACAAGATGACGGAAGGAGAACAACAGAGGGGGAAGACCAGACAGAGGGAGCTACTCACCAGAGAGATCCATGAGCCGGTGTTGCATGACCAGTACCATCAGGCTGATGGCATCAGCAGCAGCGCCAGCACTATCAGCACGAGCAGAAGCACTGCATGCGCCATCACCATCACCACCAGGGCAGCTCGGCCGCCACCAGCAGCACTCGCACCCTCCTACACCCACTGCATTCATGCTGTTGGGATGAAAGCAGGGGAAGGGCAGAGAGACAGGTGAAAGAGGCAGGGAAAGAAAGTGAGTGAGCAAAAGAAAGGTAAAAAGCGCCAACAGCAGTTTTCTCCTGGACAAATGCATGAGTGAGAAACGAGAGAGCAAACTGTCGAGTGGAGATTCGCCCTTGAAGTGTCAGCTTGGGGAGCTATCACCTGGGGAGGGTCCCTTGGTGAGAACGCAGGAGCAGCTGGAGGAGGAACGAGGGGCAGCGGGAGGAGGGCAGCAGGCGAGTGGAGAAGATGTGTGCAAGGCGCTGCTCCTCCCATGTTGGCCCCAGTGGTTGCACTTGCAGCAGCACCCCTCTCAGCAGTACCCTTTCCAGTGGCTGCCTCAGCCGCCCCTTGCTGCTCGCACTCCGTTGGCCTGGAACAAGCGATAGAGTTGAGGATAGGGATAAGGAGACGGGATGCAGGAAGTAAGTCCACGGACGGAAGGCAGCAGAGGCAGCCACTGGAATTGCAAGCGTCAAACGAACAAGGCAGGGAAAACTGGAGAAAATAGAAAAGTGAAACCATGCGGAAGGATTTAGTGAAAACAGAGAGGCGATGGTAGCACACTACACTAGGGCGGTGAGCTAGCAGGCAAGGGGGACGAGGTAAGGAAGGGACGCGGGCATGAGTATGAATGCATTCTATTCTACCCTCCTACGACTCTAGTATGAGCTCAAGCCGCCCCAGTGCCATGCGCTACCATCGCCAAACGCCGCTCATCTCTCTCTCTCAACTTTTGATCGCTCCCATTCGAGAATGGGCTCATTTGTTTCGAGCACGCGGTGACGGAAGAATGCGATACAAGAGTGGGCAATGAAAAACACGAAGCAGAAGCGGTAAGGATGGCAAGGGCGAAGGGAGAGGGAACTTAGCCGTATGGGGGTGCTTGCAGGACGGTGGCGTCAGGCTTCCAGGAGGCTCGCACACCACTAAGACTGCCTGCCGTGCGACATCCCACCGCCCTCCCTCCCCGCACCACGCTGCCATAGCACCAGACGAGATGGGTGGAGCAAAGGAGAGCAAGAGAACCGAGCAGGGGAAAGGAACCCAGGTAGTCAGTAGTAGAAGCATGAAAGTAGTGAAACGCATGCAAGGAGGCAGAGATAACAAGAACGATTGAGTAGAGGAAACGAAAGGTGAAGACAAAAAGCACGAGACACTGTGACGCAGTGAAAGGGGAGGCGATAGTAGCACACAGCACTAGAGCGGCGAGCTAGCAGGCAAGGGGGACAAGGTAAGGAAGGGACGCGGGCATGAGTATGAATGCATTCTATTCTACCCTCCTACGACTCTAGTATGAGCTCAAGCTGCCCCAGTGCCATGCGCTACCATCGCCAAACGCCGCTCATCTCTCTCTCTCAACTTTTGATCGCTCCCATTCGAAAATGG